TCGTAATGACAATGACATTGTAGATATAGATATTAAAAAATGGCAAGAAGAACTGAATGTTTAGAAGTCTGCGGTATGTTTACTTATTACACTTAAATTAAATAAAACAACAGATTTATCGTAAAAAATAATAACCCATATTGCAGCACAATAAAAAAAAATGTCATCTTCAATGCATTAATGAATGAGTAGTTGCAGCATATAGAATATCTACATTTTGGGGTGTGGGTCTTCTCTTCATCACCTACCCACACCCACTTTTATTAGAGTCGAAAATAAAAATTAAAAAGATCCGATAGAAAAAACATTAAATTAGTTAGTACTCATAATCTAGAAAATACTAGTGCAACCATGATTGTAAGCACACAATATATGTTTAAAATCGATTCGTATTAGACAAAAAAACAATTAGTCTATCCATTTAGACCATTCTAAGAGAACACTTATGTGATATTTTGGATTGCAAATAGTTTTGTCTCTGAACCAAAAAAACACACAGAAGCTAAGAACTTTTAGTGCTCCGTTGTTGTAATCATTTTTAAAATAATCTTAGAAAAAAAAACCATGAAAAACAATTTTAAAATTCTTCATACAACATCTTTGAGATATCAAAATCAATATATCAAAAATTCTCATGTTATAAATTTTCATCTTTTTCTTTCAGCACTGAGTTGGAGCATCTTTAAAAAATTTGTTCGAATTCAAAAAAAAGAAATGATTTGCATCTCATTTTCTAGTGATGAAAAATTGAAAAATAATATGGCTCGTTTCAATTCTCAGCATCATACAGAAAAAGCATTCGAAATGAACAGAAAACTCTACATTATAAAACTTATTCTTTATTAATTCCTCTTTGGTAGTGGCTTTAAATATAATAAATGTTGTACAACTATTGTATTTCAATAGAAGATGATAAAAACCTAATTCTTTTTTATTGTTAGATAGAACTCTAAAGATAACGGAGCAAAAAATTTAATGAAGTTTTTCTAATATTCTTCTATCTTGCAAAAATTTCTATCTGGCTAGTTTGGATGTGGCAAAAACTGATGTGATTTTGTATATACTGTGTAAAAAAGTTCAAAAATATTACAATTAAGATAAGGTATTGAACTTTTTTCCTTCGAAGAAATCAAAATGATAAAATTGCAGAAATTTTCAGTATTCTTTTTTAGCAATTTTCGAAACATATCTTTTAATAATTCGATTATTTTTGTTCATCCTTAAATTCTATATAATAAGTTTCTCATTCGTTCGTAGAAGAAAAGAAAACTGGTACTGCCCCTAATGTTTGAATAACTGATTTATGCGTTTGTTCCTATGTACTCGGCATTGATAATGTTCATGTCGGAGATTAGTGGCTGTGAACATCTTTTGAATAATTTTTCACAGGAATGAGACAGAGATATGTGATTTTCATCTTTGAAAACAGCAGATAAACACGCGTCAAACCCTATATAGAAGGATTTTTCTAACTACTGTTCCAATGGTTTTACATAAAGCTTAAAGAAAAACAGCATGCCTCTCGTGATTGCAATATTAATTTATTGATTTTTTAGAACTGCACTGGTACTGCCAAAAAAGAGCTACAAAATTAGATCAAGATTCTATTCCTAATTACTACCAGTAAGATAATCAAACCATCGAGGCACAATTTATCACCTCATTTTTTTTAAATAGGAGGAAAAAGCAAGTTTTTAAAAACGTTTGATTGAAACCGTTGGAAACATCTTTCTGTACATGGTTCAATACGTCTTCATCTGCTCCTTCCAACGGTAAAAACTGCAGACCTCTATCCTATTTCTATCAAAAGTTATTCGAAAAATGCTCATGACTACTTATCTCTGAAATGGACATTAATTGATCGTAATATGTGCATTACTCTTTGGATTTTTTCGACATCAAAAACATAGGCAGGAAATATAAGTCCCAAAAACTGAAATATTCGATCAGAAAATAAATATAAAATATTAGATTTAAAAACTAATTTCATTTATAATTTGATAATTTTGAAAATATCTCATGAATTGCCATCAAAATGAAGAGCTCATTTTCATTGATATCAATGTTTATTTCAGTACCAGTACGTGCAAGTATGGTTGATATTCCTCCGAATGCAAGATGGTCAACGAATGGTATCACTGTTGCTGGAGGAAATGGGCAAGGCAATGGATCCCATCAACTCAGTTGTCCATTGGGTTTGTACGTCGACGATGAGCAAACGGTTTATGTCGCTGATCAGAATAATCATCGTATTGTGGAATGGAAACCTGGTACAACGGATGGCACAGTGGTTGCTGGCGGAAATGGAGCTCATCAATTAAATCAACCACTAGATGTGATTATCAACAGAGAGAGCGATAGTCTCATTATCAACGAATGGCGAAATCGAAGAGTAGTTCGATGGCCTCGTCGAAATGGTACTTGTGGAGAAACAGTTATTTCAAATATCTCTTGCTTCGGTTTGACAATGGACAACAATCGTTCTTTCTATGTCGTTGACTTACAAGAACATGAAGTAAGACGATATAAAATTGGTGACACACAAGGAACAGTGGTTGCAGATGGCAACGGAGCAGGAAACCGTCTCGATTAGCTCTATGAACCTCGCTACGTATTTGTCGATCGAGATTATTCAGTTTATGTGTCTGACCGTTCCAATCACCGTATTATGAAATGGGAAGAAGGTGCAAAACAAGGCATTGTCGTAGCTGATGGCCAAGGAGCAGGAAATAGTCTTCTACAATTGGATCGTCCTAATGGAGTCGTTGTCGATCAATTGGGCACTGTCTATGTGGCTGATTTTGGAAATCATCGGATCATGCGTTGGCCAAAAGGAGCCACCCAAGGAAGTATCATTATTGGTGGAAATGGTGAAGGAGCACAGTCCAATCAATTCAATGGTTCCATAAGTTTATCATTCGATGGACATGGCAATCTCTATGTCGTCGATTACTACAATAATCGAGTACAAAAATTTAATATCAAATGAACTCAATTTGGATAATTTTTCTTTTGTTTCGTTCTTTTTTTTCTCTTTCAAATAAATCGTAATTGAATGAAAAAATGCATTGAAAGCTATTCTATTCACGCGCATTCGCGCGATCAGAAACCATCCTGGTGGGACCATGGTGAGCGTAATGCTCGTACATGTGCGGGAAGACTCCCATCATTCACATGCACCTATCTGATGACATGTTTCAATGAGTCTGGGGCGCGATCGTGCTGCCATGGACACCAAGACAATTCCTGACCGAGCTTTTAGGGACTACTTGAAAGTTTTTCTTAAAGAGATCTATACTCACGGGTGCCTCATGGAATACCCCTCATCCATCCCATCTTCTATCCCTATTACTCATTCTGTCTTAGTATCTAACTAATCTCATATCGCTTTCCTTCTATTCTTACTCAAAGGAAAAATAATAAGATAACTTTAAAACGACTTACTTCATTGATGACGAAGAAGAGATGATATGAATAGCTAAAACATAAGAAATAACATTGGATGAAAAAAACATCACAATTATTTTTAAAAAGATTTATTTAAGAAACACTTACTGTGATAAATGAATTGTTCAATTGATTGACGCGACAATCAAAAAAAAAAAGAGCAATCAATTAAGAAAAAAAGATGGAACAAATATACCCATCGTTACCTGTTCTCTTTCTCGTATCGAATAGGAATACATGCGCGCATTTATTTGGTTTACGTTCGTATCCGACAAAAGAAAGAGAGTAGGTAACGATGGATACTTTTTTAAATTTAAAAGAAAAATAAGTTACTTGTTTTTAGTATTTGAAATGACTCGAGAAAATTAATCTGAAATAGAGAAAAAATAAATAATATATTAAAAGTTAAATAAGTTGGGAGTGTGGGTGTGGATGATGAGAAGATATCCACACCCACACCCTTTTCTTATGAAGAGTATCAAAATATAGTTTATCAATTTATTTCTCTTTAACAATAGTCACAAGGTCAATTCGAAATAAAAAATACTATCAATATCTTCCTTAAACTTCAAATTTCATCTAATTCGTTCATTGTCAAGTCAATACTTTTAGAACAATTATCATGAATTGAAATAGTACGAGGAACACTTTACGAACGAAAGGTAAATACTTCAATTAGTCTATTACTAAAAAAAAAGAGAAGCGATCTCTATTTCAGGCATTTGTTGAGATATTTTTAAAAAAAATAAGGAATTTTCAGCGAAAGTTGCATCAAGTCGGTTAGATGGAATTTTACCACGTTTTTACATTTATCATTTTTTCATTTTTTTCAATAAAGTTCACCCGCATATGATTGTTCGCTGACTGTCTGTTTTGATTAAAAAAAGATCAGTATGGATCAAATATCAAAAAATGAATTATTATTTTCTTGTGAAAAAAAATTTATATAATTCATCAAAACTACATCATAGTTTGACCAGATATTTATTCATCCAAGCAAAAGAAAATGTCAAAAACGATCTCAAGTTGAAAAGGGCATTTTCAGGATTTATTCAGCTCATTTTGTTTAACTTTTAATTCTGTCTTTTAGTATACACCATGAAAAATTCCAATAATCCGCTGAAACGCAAGCTGCCATCGTTTTTATAGAGATTTTTTTCCAAAAAGGTACGATAGTGGCAAAAGTCGATATGCACTAACTTTTCAAAGGAAAGATATCGGAGCTTAAAATTTTGGGATCGATGGTTTCAGACACTGATGCGTTGAATGAGTAAACAAATTTTTTATCAAGTGCCTCATATAGTCGGTTCCCTCATGGACGCTCTCTTAAATATTCTCATCCACTATCACTCTATCAAAACCTGTGCTGTTATGCGTGATGGTACCCAACGATAATAATGCCAATAATAATCATAACTTAGAAAAAAAAATATTTTAATGAATTGAGAATAAAGTGAAATAAATATCTCACAAATAAATCCACCTGATGAACGATGAGAATATTTTGGTAAACGAATTAAATAAGAACCTATTGTTTCAGTAAATTCACTACTGTCAATTGTTTCATTTGTTGGTCGATTATTTGTTACTTGCAAGTTTTCATTAGAGGGTGTGGGTGTGGGTGTCATTTAGAAGACCCTACACCCACATCCGCATCCACCCCACATCCGCATCCACCCCACATCCACACCCACACCCCACCCACACGCACATCCAGCCCACTTCACCTCAGCCATACCCACACACAATTTATTTTTAATGACTTTGACTACATTTTTTCATTGGTGTTAATTTCAAGTATTTCCGTATATTTATTAATTTTACTTTATAACCTCTTTCTTTATTATGAATACAGAGCTCTGATATTTATAATCTTAATAAGAATATGAGACTGGTTGGTGGAACGTTAAACAACTCTTTATTTCTTAAGTTCAGTCATAAGAACAATAATCAATAGTTTATCATTAAAGACAGGTACTGAGAAGTGACTGCTGATGGTAACAGACTACTTTTTATCTGCTATCTATCGATTAGTCTGTCTTCCACTGAATTATCATACCACGTTTTGGCACATCATCTAGATATTGTGCTCCTTGAGTTCCAATTTCATTACCTCGAAGATTGAGTGAAGCGAGAGTCTGCAAAAGCGTAAAAATGAATATGTGATAAAAATGATGGTAATGATGATCACCGTATTATGTTGTAATGCATCAACTAGTTGTTTTACACCTTGATATTCTATTCTATTCCACGAAAGGTCTACTTCGTGAAGGATCTAATTAAGTACAAAGATACGTATTAGACAGATGGAGTACAACTGAAATTACTGCATTATATCGTAATGCATCACCAAGAAATTGTGCACCTTTATCTCCAATCTGGTTGTGTTCAAGATTTAGCGTACGGAGAGTCTACAAAGTGTAAAGATAATGGTAAAACAGATAATGAGAGTATATATATACTATGTTATAGGGCAATGTATCGGCTAGATAGTGTGCTCCTTTGGTTCGGATTTGATTATCTCCAAGATTTAGTGTGATAAGTGTCTGCAAATTGAAAAGATTCATGTACAAGGAGTAAGAAAAAGAATGACGATCACCGTATTATATAGCAATGCATCAGCTAAATATTGTGCACCTTCATTTCCGATTTGGTTGCTTGTAAGATCCAATATGACGAGCGCCTACTAATTAAAAAATGAATATGTGACAAATACTAAGAAACCATGGGCAACCGTATTTTGTGCCAGTGCAGCAGCGATGTATAATGTACCTAGATCACCAATTTGACTGTTTGAAAGACTCAATGCAGTGTATGTCTGAAAAGATAGGAAACTCGATATCATATAAGTGAGAAGCAAGTATTACCGCGTTATCTCGTATTAAATCAGCCACATATTGTGCTCCTTCACAACCAATGTGATCGTGACTGAGGTCCAGTTTTGTGGACGTCTATTAATATAAAGAGAAATTAAACTAAGACTATAAGATTTATGAAGGTATTTATAGTCACAATTGTTATCTCACCAGTAAATAATAAATAATGGAGTGCTAACTATTAAAAAAAGAAAACTTGTACTGTTATAACCAACAACTCTACAAAACTCTCTGGATTTTAACAAGGAATTTAGGTCATTATAGCAAAAGAAATTACAACTTCTTAAAGTTTTGTTTTATATACTTTTTTGGGGATGATGTGAGAAAAATAATTTAATTCCCATCAGTTTTATCAAATTTCTTATTGGTAATGGTAAATTTTTAGATTAGTAAAATTCAATTCGTCACCTGAACATGAAAGATTGGATTCTAATTTTATTATATTTTTGAATTGTGTGTTATTAGATCACTGCATTCGTTTCCACGTTTTTCTTTTCGCAATTTCTCTTTAACAAACCGCTTATGTTCTATCACTTGCAACTGTCTTGCGCATTATGACTATATCTTGTCAGTAAAGATAGATCGTCCAGCAGTGTTCAGACTTCCAAAAAAGGAAATTTCGGAAGTTTTGGAAATTTCAAGCACTTGTGTTCTAAATTGTTTGGTATTTCCCAAAATTATATAATTTCCGAAATTTCTGAAATTTCCAAAATTCTATACGTAGCGAAATTTCCGAAATTACAGAAAATTCTAAAATTTCTAAATTTTCCAATATTTCCAAAATATTTTCATTTGCTTTGCTATGTAGTTATCGAGTTGATGGAAGCTTCGGAAATTTCTGTAATTTCCTTTTTCGGAAATCTGAACATACCTCAGATCATCATGCGAGTAAAACGAATCAGTCTTTTGCAGAGAGTTGTGACGATTCTTCTGGATTAAAAAGTCATCCTAGAAATTTCATCGAGATTTACTTCTATTAGAAATATGAAGTTGCAACAGTTTTCTAGTAAGAAGTTTGTTCCGTGAAACATTGGAAACTATATGACATACCTCTTTTACTTCTGATGAAGACTCTGTCATTGATGTTGATGTTTGTTGTGAAATACGCGAATGTGAATTAGAACTGGGAGCGTTCGACGTTCTTTCGCTTGCCGTTACACGTGTTGTTCTAGTATTAACTGTAGCGTTTCGGTTTCTACTCAATCTTGCAATTTGTGCCTCGAGTTTCTTTATTTTGTCATGTTCTGGTTCGTAATTAACTCGATATATCACGAGACTTTCATTGAAATAGTGCAGCGCTTGTTGTGTATTGTGCATATTTCGATAACAAAAACCAATATTCTTCAAAAGATCTCCAAGATGAGTATGATCTGGTGAAAGTACTCGTCGATGAAATTCAATTGCTTTGAGATTGCATCGTAAAGCATCTTCTAACATGTTATTTTTATTATGCAGACGACCCATTCCAGAAAGACAATAGAAGGCTGTTTGATTATCTGGTGGTACTGAATTTTCGACGATAGATAGAGCTTGTTCATAATACTCAAGTGCTTTTTGTGAATCATTGTCTTGAAGCATGTTGGCCATGGTCATCAGTGTTCGAGCAACACAAGGATGACTCTCGCCAACTGTGTTTTTCTGGATATCGAGCCTTTCGTAACAGAACTCTAGGGCTTTCTCGATACTGCCCATGCTCTTATAAGTATTAATGATCCAGCCAAGATGATCCGACAGATTGGGATGGCCGAGCGGCAAACCTTTTTCTTCCATTTTAAGCGTTCGATGAAAATAATCCAATGCAACATCTAAATTACCCTTTTTCTTATAGACCCATCCAATAGCACCACGACATCGAGCAAGATTAGGATGCTGATCAGGTAGAATTCTTTTGTGCATATCAAGAGCACGATTAAAATAAATTAGAGCGGTATCTAATTCATTTTTATCACTATATACTCTTCCAATACATTCGATGGTCGTTATTTTCTCCATAGTATCATTTGAAGAATTTATTTCATATATTTGTAAAGCTTGTTGAAAATAATCGAGTGCTGACTCGAAGTTCTCTTTTCTTCTGTGAATAGTTCCGATATTGTACAGCGAAGCAGCTATCTGAGGATGATCAGAAGGTAATTTTTCTTTACGAATTTTATATGCAAGCTCAAAGTATTCTAATGATAATTTTAGCTCGCTTCTTCTCTGATGCACAATTCCAATCTGGTTGTAAACAGAAGCAATTTCAGGATGATCAGGTGGTAAAGATTCGAGTATGGTGCGGAAATATTTATCGGCTCGATTGACTTGTCCTAATTCATCTCGTAAAAGGCGACCGAAGTATATAATCGGTGAGGATTCTTCTAATTGTTGTTTTGAAAGGTTGATATATTGCTGAATCTTATCTGAACTTTCATCAGTTGCAATTAATTGTACTTTCCACAGTACAAGATTCGAGTCAAACTGAAAAGAATGAATTTTGAAGACAGCATTAAGATTGAAAAGAACTTCTTGTTCGCCTCGTACGGCAGTTTTTTCTTCAATATCAGCAAAGATAACTGTTGCCAGGGATGCATCAGCTTGAATTTCGAATAGAACAATCTGAAAGGCGTCATTAACAGGTCCTTGACTAGCAAAGTTAAGCGCTACACCGATATTGCGTGATGTGGAGAAGAATTCATTGGTTGAAATAACCATACCAACATTCTGTTTTAATTTTTCAAATTCAGCAGTAGGAATTTTCTGACCACGATAGAGAGTTTGAAGACCCTTATTTTTCAATTTGCGACTTTCTTTCTGAAGTGCGGCACACAAGTCGATGATAAAAAACCGAAACAGATAAAGTAGTTCAATATCTTCTGTACGAAGAGCTTTGTTTAACAACTTATACAGAAAACATTCATCTGTATACCATTCAATAGCCTGGTCACTAGTGTAACTCGTCTGAAATTTGTTTATCTTTTTAAGTTCAGTTTTGTTCGATCGATAATAATTCAGACACATGTCGAGCATGTCTTGTTTTGACTTTTCATTTTGAGGCATTTGTTTAAGAACATAAAGAAGCATTTGATGCCAGAGAAATGAAGCTGATTCTTTCGATAAATCTCGTGTTGTTTTTTGTTTTTTATCGAATAGACTGAATACCAATGTTTGCTTCTCGACTACATTCATTGTCTCTTTGATTGATATTAATAAACAATCTTTATCTGTAAATATGTCGACGATTGCTGTGTATTCATTCATCAGTGACGTGTAATTTTCGCGATTCTTACAGAAAATAAAAATAGCATTTAAAGCACGATGAGAATGAAGTTGAGGGAGAACTGTCCGAGAAAAAGTGCCAGAGATAATAAGTAATACTTGTTCATATACGATTGATTTGACAAAATTAACACATTGATCGCTATCAGTGAAGAATTGAGCGACTGGGTTTAGCGCGAGTAGAGTGGATTTCATATGATTACGATCCGTTGATTTATCAATATTCGCATCGAGCCAAATCAATTGAACGTCTTCTTTATTTTCTGCAGCTACATTGAGGTGAGGATTTTTCTGTTTTTCAGCTAATGAAACAGTAGCAGCCATGTCAACAATGGGACCGAAGATTTACTTTTTTTCTGATTATTATACGATCTAAAGTAAGCATATAAAAAGAGAACAGAAATAACAATGAGATCACAATGTTAGAACTCTATGCGATGATCCATAAAATCATCATTTGTTTATCATATAATAGCCATCCTATGTTAGGAAAAAGCGGGGTGTTAAAACCTGAATTTGAATTACGACGAGAAGTTGTAAAAACCAGTATGACTTGAGTAGAACATAGTGAAACGTCCTTGAGTCAGAGAAAGGGGATGGAGAAAAGCGCAATGCACCGCATATAAGGTAAGAAATAGTACCAGAATTTTGCCAACTGGGCATTCGTCAATGGCAAAACTTCGGTCAATTTTCAACAGTTGTCATGGAAGAATATTATGGTAGAATACATGTGAGAACTGACGGTCTCAGAATATATCTCGTTGCTTCTATTATATTGAAACATAAATTCTGCACGTGTTTTGTTGTTTGTTTAGGCAAATTTGAGACTTTATGTCTCGTGATTGCAAAGAGATATAAAGTCTCGAATTTGCCTAAAAAACAAAAAAAACATGCACAACTTATGTTCCCATCTAATAGTTATCAATGTGATGGATAGAAATCTCTCTAATCCACATATAAATTACACTCAACTCGGTGAAATTCTGCTAACTCAGTCAAATTCAATCCTTGAGTTTTTTTTTGGAACCATAGTATTTCAAACAGGGATGTCCACATTTATATTCACTTCCATCACAGTTTTCGCACGCATATTATCTCTTAGAGACTGTCAGAAATACTATTTGCTTGCGTTGTTATTTACTCAAATCACGTCTTACTGGCAAAACGAACTCCATCATGCGTCGCAACAGAAGAACGAAAAAGTCTTTTGAGATTTTATCTCGTGTCATATGATAGAGTCGGGAGTGAAAATGAGAGAGTTGGTGTCAGCAGGTAATCGCAGTACATTATATGTTGTTTTTTTGTGTTTAATATGAGTTCTGACAATCAGCATTGGGGTACAGCAGTTGTGAATTTCTATTCATTAGATAATGATGGTGGTGTATCATCTACGAATCCATCACATTATCAATGCAATTATACAGTCGATCTAAACATACATACATAGACTAGTAGTGAAGATAATAAACAAAGAATAAATCAATGCTGATTTACTTTTTTCCAAAAATTCTCTAAATAGATCGTTCGGGTCGAATGTCTATTCAGAGCTCTCGATTTTTTTCGAGAGCAGCGGGGGGTAATCATTTTTTCGCAGACATACCGGAAAATGGCCCTGTACCCCCGCCCTATCCCGAGAGCCTCGCAGACAGATAACAGAAAAATTTCGCAGGCACACAGAAACAGTGGCAGGAACTAGCCCTCTGCAACCCCTCCCACATCGAGAGTCTTGTGTGTATTTTAAGAAAGCAGCTGACTTTTATCAAATTTAGTAAACCATGGAAAATAAACTCTCTCAAACGAAAAAAATCGAACTTGAGAATTTTGATTAAGCATAATTAGATGTGGATTTTGCGACTGTTACAACATTGGATCAAAATCTATAGAAAAAAGGCTTACTCCCACTGGAACGACGCCAGTCGCTAAGTTTGAAAAATTGATGAATGGTAGATTCATATTACTCATACAACGCTTATTAGCTACTGTGTATTCAAACAAATAATGAAAAGATTGACGTTAAACGTGTAAAAAGCACGTTTACTGCGTTAAAAATTCTCTTATGCGAGAGAAACGAGTCAATTGTAAGTCAATATTTACAAAGTTGTTGTATTCACCAACAAAAAAGCTACTTTCCACGTGATAGACATTGTTTACGTGTAAAAACGTCGACTTTTTCATTACTATTCTGTTGGTTGATGCTTTGCTTCTGTTTTGTGTCCTGTTAATCGAATCGTCGAAGTATTTTCATTATCTAGTGATTGGTAAGTGTGTAGGATGGGTAATTTACTTGTCATCATTCACCAAAACACTCACACCCACACCCAATTAAGAATAAACTAAAAATAAATATTTCACAAATCTTTAAATTTTTCAAGAATAAATCCATCCGATGAACGATGAGAATATTTTGGCAAACGAATTAGATAAGAACCTGTTGTTCTCAGTAAGTTCACTACTGTCTATTGTTTCATTTGTTGATTGATTACTCGTTATTAGCGAGTTTTGATTAGATTTTGCTTTATTGTCGTCAGGTATAAATAAAGGAAACACAAATATTTTAATTATTAACTAAATTGATCTATCGATATTGTGAAAAGAATCTTGGCCAATTGTATTCAAATATTTTTTTCGATAGAGACGCCACAAAGCAATTACTCAAGAAAAAAAGATAAATATTGTTATTTTTCTATCTGCTTGTATGACACTACAAATCTATTCGTCTTTCTTCCTTTCCTTATCTCGATTTTGTACTCGTCGTGCATACTTTATAAAACATTTTGCTACAACGACAATGACATCTTCTGATGACTCATCAAAAATGAAAACTTCTAGTGAAAAATCAAATAATTTATTAGCAAAACGTTATATTGGATTAGAAAAAAGTATTTGGTAATCAAATTTAAACTAATTTTTCAATTCATTTTCATATATCTAAGATTTCTTTTAGGACTGAATTGAATGCATTACCCATTGTACATAAAGCTATAGATTTAGGTCAAGGTTTTATTGATTATGCACCACCGCATTATTTTATTGATTTATATAAAGAAACGCTCGATGATCCTAATATATTTTTACATCAATATACACGTGAAATGGTAAGTTTATAGTTTCTATTTTTCTAACTTACATCAATGAATTTTTCAAAAAAACAAAATAGGGTCATCGACGATTAGTTGAAGCTATTTCAAATGTTTATTCACCATATTTTAATCGGAAAATTGATCCATTAACTGAAATTCTAGTTACTGATGGCGCTACTCAATCACTTTTCAATTGTATTCATAGTTTTATTAACCCTGATGATGAAGTAAAATATCTTTCATCATTTCTACAATATTTTCTCAAACTCATAAACGTCTCTAGGTTATTCTAATAGAACCATTTTTTAGTTGTTATGAACCAATGGTTCACTCAGCTTGTGGTATTCCAAGATATATAGCACTTAAACCAGTATTTTACATTATTTCTTTTTAAATTGTTAATTAACTATAAAAAGAATTTTTTTCTTAATCATATTTAGAAACCTGAATCAATCAAAGCTGATATTTCATCAAGTTCCGATTGGATACTTCATAAAAATGAATTAGAATCAATGTTTAATTCTCGTACTCGTCTTATTATTATCAATACACCAAATAATCCTGTTGGAAAAGTACATATATATTTTTTTATTATCTTTATAAAACAAAATAAAATTTTATTTTTAATTAACAAAAAAAAACAAAGGTTTTTACACGTAATGAACTTGAACATATAGCAAATTTATGTCAAAAACATGATGTTATTTGTATATCCGATGAAGTTTATGAATGGATAGTATACGATGAAAATAAAAAACATATACGTATAGCAACATTACCGAATATGTGGGAACGAACATTAACAATCGGTAGTGCAGGAAAAACATTTTCATCAACTGGTTTAAAATTAGGTTGGACTATTGGACCACAACATCTTATGCGTTCATGTCGGGTTGTTCATCAAGTAATTTGATCTATTAAGTAGAAGAAATAAAAAAGAAACAAAGAGAAAAATTTTTCGTTGTTAGAATTGTGTTATTTCATGTCCAACAATATCACAAGAAGTTGTTGCACGTTGTTTTGAATATGAATTAAAACGTATAAATTCTTCTAAATGTTATTTTAATTCAATATCAAATGAATTTCTTGAAAAACGTGATAAGTTTGTTCAAGCTTTAAAAGAATGTGGAATAAAACCTGTTGTACCTGATGGTGGATATTTTATTCTTGCGGATTATAGTCAATTTGGTTTGTTTACAAATAATCTGTTTATTATCCGAAATAATATGGATTTCTTTTTTATTTTGTATTAAATAGCTGGTGATAAATTTCAATCGGATACTGATGATGTGAAAGATATTAAATTTGTTCGATATTTAACCAAAGAAAAAGTAATTAATTTATGTAGAAATAATTGAAAATGTTTCGTTTTTTCTTTATTTTAGCAACTTGCTACTATTCCTGCAACAATTTTTTATACAGATGATCATCACCATTTAGCTGAAAATTATATTCGATTTTGCTTTGTTAAAGTAAGTTTCAATGAAATAATTTATATGAATTTTTTCTTTTTGTTTTTTTTAGAAAGATGAAACACTCGATAAAGCAATTGAAATTCTTCGAAAACTTAAAACAAATTAAAAAATTTATTATGTATTTAATAATGAAAAATAAAGCATTGACTTTTTAGTTTTTTTTTAAATTTGCGTTGAAAAATTCCACATTTATAACATCGTAGTTGTTTATTGATTATTTATATACTTTGAATGTTCTTCTTCTCATCAAAATCATATATGAGAGTGTATCTTAGTATTTTGCTTATTAAATAGTCAACAGACTGCTTTTGTAGTCTGTGATTTATTTCTACTGATTCTTCACTTAATGTTCATGTAAAAAAAATCTTTGGAAATAAACGATTGCTTTTTTTAATTTGAATCACATCAACTAAGAAATAGATGTGATGTTGCTGATATATCATTGATTTCAACTGCTGATTCACAATAATGTTCATTTTTTCAAATTTCACTCTTATATAACAATTAAATCAATTTGTTCTTGTTAGAAACATTTGATCAAACGATTAGATCAATATCATCTTTCATGTGAATATGTTTCTTTACAAGGAATTTCTGAACAAATCTCTGGTAATGATAAGACAATTGTAATTTTTTATTTTCATTCTTACATAGGAATAATATCAATTTTTTCTTTTAGAAACGTCTGATTGACCCATTAGATGAATATCGTGTTTCGAATGAATACCGATGCCGATGTCGCTAAAATCGGATTAAAACCGATGGTTAACCATGGTTCTTCTTCTTCTTAAATTTTTTTACTTCTCACTAAATGAATATTTTTTAATTCTTGCAAAATTGTCAGATTTGAGTCTAAATCATGCTCCTTTATATTTGTAAACGCACTGAAGCCGCTGTGTGTGGATATGGGATATCAGTGTGGCTGTGAGCATGAGTATTGATCTTCATTTTACCCACATCCTGAACTCAGATAGTAATTAATAGGCCTCCACATTTCTGTTTCTAGCAAAACTATGCATGTTTCAGCTGCATACGGATCATTGCCTGAATGCACTTGAAATTTACTTCAAAAGTCATTCAGATAGCTTTAGTTAACATTTTTATTAAATTGAACGAGATTTTGTTAAATTTCTGAATGGTTAATATAGTGTTTGGTTATTAGGACCATTTCTACGAACTGTCCCCACTCCTTTTACTGCGTAACATATCGAGCAATGCTTGATTTTCAATTGTTTCCTCATGATCAGAACCGAAAATATGCTGATTGATTTCTAGTGCTTTTGATGCATGCTCGATTGCTTCGTTCAATTGATTCATTCCATCTAATGTCACTGCGATATTGAAATAAGTAATAGCTAATGACGGATGTTTCATTGAGAAAATAATCTGTTCGATAGCTAAAGTTTTTTGATAAAATTCAAGTGCCGCTGCTAAATTTTCTTGTAGACGATGAATGTCCGCAATATTGTTGTAAGTCGTCGCCAGAATTGGTTGTGTGGGTGGCAAGTGTTCTAATTCAATTTTGAGAGCACGTTGATAGTAATCGAGTGCTTCACTATATTTATTTTGATCTCGCAAGATAACACCAATGTTATTGTATCGAGTAGCAATTTGTTCGTAATCAGGTTGAGGTGCTTTCAAATCAATACTCAATCCATGTTGATGATATTTCATTGCTCCAACAAGGTCGCCTTGCCGTTTGAGAACAACGGCAAGATTCGAATAAGAATTCGAAAGGGACGGATCATTCGCTGGCAGATATGTTAAATAGAGTTGAATCGATTTTTCATAGTGAATTCGTGCTTTAGTCAAATCACATATTTCATTATAGAGATAACCAAGTTGATGATGAATATGAGCAAGTAATTGGTTTTCTCTGTCCGATGTGATTTCTAACATAATCAAGTAGAGTTCAATAGCTTCATTGATCTTGCCCATTTTCAAATGAAAATTACCTAAACGACTCAAGGCAGTCGATCCACAAACTTCTTGATCAATAAAATGATTGAAGCGAGCAAATGATTGATCGTTTGTATTGATCGAAGTCAAATTTATTTGCCATAGCTGTTCGCCAATAGATTTTATTTCTCGGATGCGAAAAGTCGAATGTAACGGAAGAAGGAATTTACTATTCGAATCTGATTTAGAGTCTGTTCCGTTCAATGGAATGATAGGTGTCGATGTATCGACTTCCATCTGAAAAACAATACCGAAATCCGAACCATGATCATACGATCGTCGAGCCCAATCTATAGCATCTTGTCCACTGGCATGAGTTACTAGAAACGTATTAAATGATATAAGACCAGTTTTATTTTGCTGAAGTTTATTAAGCGTCGTTTTTGATAGACCTTGTCCGTGAAAGACCGATATGGAGTTTTGACGTTTCATATCAGTGTGTATTTGTACGATCTGCCGATAGAGATCTTGAGCAAAGAAAACCATATGCATGATCATTTGCATGTTTTCTATTCTCAATGCTTTGTTCCAAACTGAATAGATAAAATCTTCGCGTGTATACCATTGGATTGCTGATGTTTGTTGATAAGTTTTTTGAAATTCATCGATTATATTTAAACCCAAAGGATTAGCTTTGAAATATTTTCGACAGAGATTCACAAATTCTTTCTTTTCCGCTTTACTATTGTCCATTGTTAATAATAGTTCTTTCAAGAGATATATAAAAGTAAATGACCAATCAATATCGTTCAAATGTTGAAGTGAAATCGTTGGTAGAACACTGATGGGTATCAAATTATAATTAGCAAGAGAAACATGTTGCTTGAATACTTCGACAAGTGATTCCATCGATGTGAAAACACGTGTTAATTTACGTTGGTCAACACATGCTGTTTGTTTTCCTAGTAAATAGATCGATTCAATGGAAGAAAGTTGCTCGAAGTTAGACAAGACATCTTCGTTGATTGAATCAGAAATGATCAGAAATACTCTTTCATTAGTAATTTTCTTCATAAAATCAATGCATAGATTCATATTGGTAAATATTTTTACACATGCTATAATACGACAAAATTCTTGTATGAAAAGGTTTCGTTCAGATGCATTAGTATCTTTTATGTTTCTATTCAACCAGATCAAAATATAACTTTCGATTGAATCATTAACTGAATTGTTCAAGTCGTTGAATACTGCCGTCGCCAAACTTTTAGATGGTTGATCACCCATTGAAGTTTATTAGTAGATTAGAATATTTACACAAAAAGACACCGACGTTGTATTCTTATGAAAAAATTTACAACGTTGCCATATAAGAATTTATATAACGTGCTTTACTTTAAGTCATAACTGTAATAATGCGTCTTACTCGATTGGTTGTCATGATCAACAACATGTTATTGTTATGTTTACCTTTATTGACTACATGCACTGTTGCGAGGGTGAAACATGGCAGAAACGAATCGATTCTCTTTCTCACTGTTGACATTGTAGAAAAAAAAACACATCTATAACAAGTGAAGCATTATCTCGAAATGAAGGGTGTGGGTAAAGTCAAGATGTTATTTATCATCCACACTCACCCTAGATTAAGAAATATTATCACTCGGTTTTATTTATTTCGAAAAAACACGTCAAGAATTACAACAACATAACAATTTTTGAGAAATTTTTTTCATACGAGAAATAATGTATTCATTCAGACAATCGATACATATTTTCTTCAACATGTTAAACAAACAGTGCGCGTTTAACACTCTTTCTGCAATCTTTTGTATCGCTTGAAAGACTAAAAAGTAAAGGTATGGCGATATAGATCAAATTTTCTTTCGTTTTTTTTTTGCATAATCATTTTTTTTTCTTTAAAGCATCTAAAGTAGATGCCTGATCGTTTACTTTACTTCATACAGGTTTCATTTCATCATACCATGCAGAGCGAGGTTTTAATCATATTGCTTGATAATTATCATTTTGAGCAATTTAATTCTTTTTTTGATTCACCTTTGATGGAACCGGTGAATTATGAATTATCATAATAACAAAAAATAATATGCATTTATCAAAGAAATCATTGTGATCTACGATGTCATGATTTACCAAGTGGATGACGAATTGTTTGTTCCTGTAGTGCAACTTAAAAAACATTATCGAGAAACCTTCAAATGTGAAAATATGAATAAATGTAACAATATGGCTTTAAATTATTGTTCACAAATATGTTGACACACAAGGTAGTTTTCAATTAAGTGCAGTTAATATATCGAATTGTCATCTAACAGATATTCCTTTTTCACTTACTTAAGTATTATTTTCCCAATATTTAAAAGTTTTATAATCTTCAAAAAATCTAGTTTTTCTCAATCTTCTTTTTGAAATTTGTTTACTGTTCTAACTAGTTCTACCAGGTGAGATGGCCAAGGAGGTCTAAAATTTTTAATTTGTTCAAAATTAGTACATCTATCACTTAAGGCTGCTAGAAAGTGAGAAAAAATGACAAAGAAGGTATTATAATCTATTTCGTATACAATTGTATTACAATAGGAATGTACTACTTCAAGAAAAAACGTGAAAATTTTCCAATTTGTTTTCCTAAAAACACCATTTTCAGTACCAGGAAAGAGTGACAAAAATAATACAGGATAATGATTAGAGTCACTCTCAAGGAGTCTCTCAATCCCCTAATTTTCTTTACTTTCTCTTATTCCGAAATTAATTACAGAGTTCGATCTTTTTGAAGTTGGATAACGCGGGTGTAAAGTTTCAAAACCGTTATCAGTTAATCATTCTTTTAATTTGTTTCCTGAAACGTTATTACCCTCACAATTCCATTCCTGATGTTTTACATTAAAATCACCAAATATAAATATTTCTTTATCCTTGTGTTTATCGAATATTTCTAATGGTGGTATGCTTCCAGGAGGTATGTAGATACTTGCAATGAAAATTTTTTCATCTATTATTTCTATTTGAATCAAGATAAAGTTAACTGATTCTTGAATTAGCGAGGTTCTTAGTTTTTTTTATGAACTAAAATTTCAACACCATCGAAGTTATTCATTCCTTTCGCACTAAATATTTTATTTTCTTCTCTTTCTGATTACACTCTCGTCATGTTCTCTTTTCTGATAATTGCTCGATTAATTGATAGAAAGTGAAACTAAACATATTCTCTATTCTAACGCTATCAGTAGTATATAAACATTAGATTTGTCAATAGAACGACTGATATAAAAGAGCCGTAAGTAACTCATAGGCGTATTTATTTAAGGGTGTGGATGTACTTCTAGATAAAGAGACGACACATACCCACACTCACACCTAGTCGCACCCGCACCCTAGTCAATAACTTCATGAATTTCTAAATATTTGAGTTGCTCCCATGTCAGCTGATGCATGGCACAGGCAAACAAATTATCTGTCAAGGTCTTATGCTTATTGTTGTTAGCTGACACGTCTTGGGATTCACTATGTTATCGTTCACTATTGTTGACTGTTTCGTGATTTCAGTTGTCACCCATTTCTTCAGCAACAATGCTTCAATGGCACCCAAAATCAATTGTTCAACATGATACATTATCAATGGTAACGAAAGTAAACCAATAACTTCGTGATCTCCACCAGTATAGAGAATGTTTATTAATGGTACTCCCATGGCCACCGTTTTTGTCGTACCACAAAACATGATTGCTACCGTATCTTCTCGTGAGAACTGCCAATGTCGAATGGGTATTCTTGCAGTGATCATGATTAATAGTGAAAAAATAATATATATTCCGGCATTAATAATAACCAAGGCGGCAAGATCCTTTCCGTTTATTGATTGAAATGATCCAGTAGCAACAGCTGTACAAAATACCGACCACACTAGTGCTAATAGAGCTAGACTATTTAGTTCAGAAAAGTGAAATTTTTCTCGTATATACGCAACCTGTTTTGTCCATAAGAAATGAATAACTTGTCCGACAAATAAAGGTAATAGTACAGTCAAACCCAAGTTTTTCATAACATTTCCATAGTCTAGTCGATGAATCTTACCACTGCTAGAACTATTTGGCAAAGAATTAACAATAGGATTACTCATAAAATAGAAGACAAGAGCCGGTGATATAAATATACCCAAAGCATTGCCAAGTGCTGCATTTAACAGTGCTGAATATTCATTGCCCATAGCATTTTTAGTCATGACAACATTACTGGAAATAGTTGTGGATGTACAAGCCATTATAACGATTCCAGCGACTAATGTTTTGTTGATCGGTAATCTTGTCAGTAACAATCCTAAACCATAAATTGTAAATGGAATGATCAGTAGACTATAGATCTGGGCGGTGGCATGAAGGCGTATATGAAGAAATTCTTTAGCAAGTAGCTTTGTTCGAAGCGACAAACCACTGAGAAAGAAAATTAGTATGACACATCCCCATTTAACGGACCATTCAGAACGAATATAGCCACCGGTTTTGCCGACATTTGGAAATGCGTATGCTAGACCAATAACGCAACCCAATCCAATAAGAAACCAATATTTGCGAATAATAGGCAATAGATGCGATAGACATAATGAAATTGCAGAATGTTTTGGTTTCTTTTCCTGTTTTTTCTTCATATACGTATGAACAAATAATGCCATTGTAGGTTGACAGTACAAACAAGCGAACTTTTCATTATAAATGGCGCAGATCTGCGGCAGACTGATTAATATGCTATTGAGTGGTATATCATCTGATAAAAGCATTATTATAGAAGAGTTTGTTTTATTCGTAATGTGTTCTTCAAATTCAACTAAATTTGTGAATTTATTTGTGAATTTGATTTTCGGCACAGTTTTAGTTTCTCTTCCAAGCCAAATGAGTGAAAACAAATCCGAGTCACTTTTATCAGCTGACATACTTAGTCTACCTTGATAGTATACCTAATCAAACCAAAAATCTGAAAACACATATACAATTTGAAAACATCGAAGGAACTTTATGAAAGACTAGATTGTCACGGTTGAGTGGTTAAGTTCTTAGGCACGTGCTCCCAAGACACTATATTCGAGCTTCAGAGATGCGTAAGATGGAAGAAGAAGAAGGATACTCCTGTCTTTCGATTACCTAGTGGTATGGAGTGCTGCCTAGTGGCAGATTCGATAGCCCGATATTTTTCTTACATCTACAACTAACTGTAGCTCTGGACAGAAGGTCGGTCTGATGCAGAGTTCTTCCACTCAATTGCTTGAGCTTCCCATACATACTAACTAACCACATACTGTGAATGTCACAACGTAGTGAGTAACCATTCAGCCATGGCGGCTGCATAAAATGGAACGATCCAAGCCTACAAGAAACTCTAACACTACTCGTAAAAAACCGTTTTTGTGAGACAAAAAGAACAATTTTAACAAAATCTAGTTAATCACGTTGAACACACATCCAAGCATATCGAAAAGTAGATGGGAGTTGTAAAAATATTGTTTTCGACTTAAAAACGACAGTTGTATTGTCGTCGAATTTAATAATAGGAAAAAAATAAAATAAAAACAATGTTTTCCTTAATTCTAAATTCAACAGCAATAAAATAGTTGATTTTACGCCGAAAAATAGTGTTCTCACGGCTGTCACCCCGGTTTCAATATGCTTGAATGCGTGTTCAATGCGAATGACTAGTTTCTGTTCAAATCATGCTTTTTGTTTCAACAGTTGCTCTGGGTTTTCTTATCTACGTGAATCCGAACAAGTAGCGAACAGCTTTTTGTCTTTGACGACCTGTTTGGTAGTACCCTGACGATATTTCCTCTGACTATTATCTGATTATTCAATATATATTGAGAGTGCAAACAATTGAGCAAAAGTACTCAATGTCAGGCTAGCCTTTTGTCCACAGCTATAGCTTGTATCAGCTGCAGCCAAATACACGACGAAGCAATGGTGGTGGTGGTGATGGCTTTGCTCAATATTGTTGCAGCTGTATACGAAAATAGTAAAGTTTATCACACCAACAAGGTGACGCTACCGATGAATTTGTATAACGTTGTTGTTACGCGATTCTGTAAGATATTGCCTGCAAACTATTAGTGGATATGGATATTGGTTTATTGTAGCATATGAGAGATCACCTATCTTGAATTTGGTTCGGAATGCAATCAACGAAGTTCTCATTTGACAGTCGCACAAGTTCAAGTCGTCGCAGTAAGAAAGCGTAGCAGGTGATCAAATGATCGATTTTGATGAAAATACGCCAACCGGCTTAGGAGTGACCTTTTTGTCTTTATTATCCTTTATAATAAAGGATAAAGATAAATCCTTTACCTTTATCCTTTATAATAAAGAATAAAGATAAAGGAATAAAAACAAATTTATCCCTTATTTGTTAAAGATAAAGAAATCCTTCGTCTTTAACAAATAAAGATAAAATAAAGAAATAAAAGATACTTATATAAGGGACAACGTGATTGGAAGAGTTCTAGGACCTAGGAATGGTCATTTTAACTTAACTTTAAATATTGTGATATGATCTAGTTTTGTTACTATCGCGGAAGAAGTAGGCAATCATCAATTGCTTTTGTCAGGGTTCTTCTAGTATTATGAGGAAAATTATTAAAATTGATTTTCTCATGGAGAAAAAAAAACCTATTTTTGAAATGAAACTCAAATTTTTCATTGTATATTGATCAACATTACACATGAACAATCCTAAGCGCTTTTTTTTCCTACTAAAATTTGAACAACTTGACTTAAATTTAACAACCACACCCAAGGATGAGAATGTGCTTTGTGTTTTGCAACACTTACAGGCTATTTTCGATGTGAAATATTGACTGTTAGACTATTAATTATTTATCAGTATAATAAGTCTAACTCGTTATCTTGAATCTCAGACTCGGCTTACAATGAAGAAATGCAACTTTTAAACTTCACGGCGTATGTGTAGTTTTCTGGAAAAAAAAGAAACTATGAACACTTTCATTATTTTCAGAATGAAAAATCAGACATAAATGCACATCAGCAAAATAAATTTTAAACTCAAAAGTAGTTTTATAAGCCAAATTTCTGAGATTTCATATGAGACTGAATTTGTGCCGGGTAAACACCGAATAATAGCAATGTATAACATCCTTCTCATTGTAAGACTGCGACAGCCTAACTCTCCCGGAACTCTATATGGCTGGACGTGGATGAGCATGGATGAAAGCAAACACAAGGAGAATATCCATACCCATACTCTAGTTTGCTCTTCGTAATTGTTGTATGATCACTAATCTGTTATGGAATTTATTTTTTTATTCTATTCCCGAATATTAAGAATCTGGAAAAATTTACAAATGAAAAATTCAAAAGCTGACGAATCAATTGCGAACATAATTCTATTGTTGAATATTACCAGTATTATCTAGTTCCGTTTTGTTTCTGTTATTAGATTTTGTAAAAAACTGAAGCAATATTAATGTGTAACATGCTATTGATGCCAAGAGTTCTGTCCCATTGTTAGTGTATTTCAAAATTTGTGCTCTAGTATGAAAGAGTTTTTCCTTTGATGGATCGTGTGCTTCATGAGCGCTATATGCAAGACGAGTACAAATAAATTCGACATTTTCGAAAATAACAGTAACTGTTGCGAAAAAAATTAATGACCAAAATGAAAGTAGGGACCATTTGCGATAAGTCAAATTTTCGTGATCATAGAAGTGAGAAAAAAGATCATACAGTATAAAAAATGCAATTGAATTTGTACTTATAACATCATAATTTGCATATAATGGTATTAAAACAATCAATAGTACTTCTAATCGTGACATTAAATGAAAGAAAGCTTCTTTAGTTATCTCCATTTTTACATGAAGTTTTCGCTTGTATTTTAGATAACCAACACAAATAACAAATCCAGCATCAATGACAGTATATATAATAAAAACAATCATTAGTCCTAAATCACGTTCACGATATCGATAGTAGACAATATAAAGTATATCACCAGCTTCAATCGCTAAAAAAAGAATAGTTTGATAAGGAATCCACAGTTTTCGACGTTCACTATCAATTTTAACATCGTATTGTAAATAGTAAAAGAGTATAAATATTGTAGAGGTAAGTCCAGCATAATTCTGTTGTTCTTCACTCTCTGGATCATACACAACCGTAAGCCATACAGCATCGCCAATGTATGCAAAAACAGCAAAAAGTGGTAATACCCATCCTAAGTAGAATGTATAATGATACAAGAGTTTATATGATTCTAAATATGTTTCGCATTCTAATTTGCGTTTGCATCATGAAAACAGCATATACTTGCTTTTCTTACTAAGGAGAGTACTCATTTTTATTTCCTCATGCTATAATATAAGCACTAATGATTTTAGAAATTGTTTTTATATGAACAAACCAAGTAAAATTTCAATAGAAGACAGCTGATATTCTATCACAGGAGCTGAATATACTAAAACATTCATATTTTTTGTTCAATGGGAAAGTAACTCATCCAAACTTAATAACATCAGTTTTCCAAAGTTTTTTGGTTTTCCTGTTCTGTCTTTATTCGTAGGTCGAAATTTTTGAAGTAGAAGAATAGAAGGAGTTTTCTACATTCCTCTTTGTTGCCTGTCTCGTTTCTCCAATCAAAATCTCCTATATCATCAAGAGAACATGTTACAAAGGCTCACTCATAAAAAATATGTGAAAGGTATTCAAAAATATCTCAAATTCAGTCTATGATGCATAGACAGACAATTTTATTATAGATCTGTTCATGTAATAACCATAACTTCTCTCTTGAGACTTACAAAAGAATCGATCTCACTTAATGTCTATTATTGATTGTTTTCATTTTGTTCGCACCATTGTTGAGTTCTTCTACTACCACATAACAGAAGATCTGTCTTCTTTTGCATCCCAATCGATAGCAATTGGAAAGAACTACAAACTGGCATTTGCAGTTCTTTTCAATCGCCATCAAGCCTTGTTTGCTCTGTGGTATCTTATAAGTATCGTATTTATTCTGCATGAAAACAACGTTTGATATCGAAAATCACGAAATCTGTTTGATAAATGCCTTTTTTTCTCATTAAAAATCATGTTTTGTAAGTTATATATACCGAAAACAATTCGAAAATTCATGAATTAAACTCCAATTTGTGACTTTTTCTGAGTGCTATCAATTCGCATGTAAAAGACGATAGGTCCTCCGTTATGTGATAGTATACAAACTCAATAATCATACGAATAGAATGAAAATTACCAGTAATAGACACTAAGTGAAAGCTGTTTTTTTTGGAAGTCCTAAGAGAGAAGTCATAATTCTGAAATGGGTAGATGCAGAATGAAATTTTCTTTCTATCCGCCATAGACTAAGCTTTACCTTAGTGACTCTAAGTCTCAATGGATTTTGCTTGATTATGGTATCAGAAGATTCAAATGATCTTCCTACATGAGATCAACTACGATTTAGTCGAAAATATGGAGTGGCCTAAATTAGTTTCTAATACACTTTTGCCATTTCTCGAAAAATTACCAAATGTTAACGGTAGCCATACATGTTAATATCTCCATGAAACATCATTGTTGATATTAATAAATTTACAGATTTTAATGTTCTAATATTTTCTTGTATTCACCGTGAAATATCATGTGATAAGTCACGAAAGCTGAAGGAAGAAATTGAACTCTGATTAGGAAAAGCTATTTTTCGAGAAAATAAGAATAATAATTCTTAGGTAAACGTATAATAACACATTTTCTTGACTATTAGTACATGAATATTCAACAGTGTGAGAGAAGTTATACTTCATAATATATATGTGTTTAAGAGTCAGTATAGTTTTCTTTTTTTAATTCACCGAACAACTTTTTCTACAAAAGACTCGTCTAAACATAATACCAACTTAATGTTTCTAGTATCTGATCCCAATGTTGAGAATCATTCTTCTGCTCTGTCGTTTCAGTTGGTCGATGCACTGGCGCTCTCTCTGTGCCGATTTGCTGTTGTTCTAAAACAAAGAAACGTTATCATAAAGTATTGCTTTAGAATCTGTATTGCACAAACACAATCGTCTTTTTTCCAGAAACGGTTTTTAAAACAAACCTGTTATATTATGATGCTGTTGTAGTAACCCTTTATGCACCAGTTTTAAACGCTGTTGTGAGCCCGTAGATTTTTTGTTTCTCTCGTACTCTTGGTTCTTCTTATATTTTGGCCATGCTTCATTATCTAGATCAACAAATTCTTTAAATTCATCATCATACCATTGTATTTGCAAATTCATTTGTTCGATATTAATTTCGAAACGATTATTTATTTCTCGCTGTATGGTGTTTAGATCATTATCATGCGCAAAACTAATCGGTCTTCGTTGATCACCATATTCTATTAATATTTCTCTGGGATCGTCAACATTTGAAAAGGTTGATGCATTAGACGCCATTAGTTATTCTTTGAATTGAAATCGATGATCTGATTAATAGTGATGCTTTGTTTCTTATCTTTCACGTTTATCTATGCAATTGTACTGTTGCTTACTTTGTCTTATACTGAAGAGCTCCTGAGTGAGTTCTTTTATCAACAACAGAAAATAGAAAACCTTAAAATTACTGGACATACCGTTTTCTTCTTTTCTGAAGTTTAATCTTGATGAAAATGTTAAGAAATTGATAAGAACTCCTACAATAACAACTACGTGTAAAAAAAAACAACAATGTCGCAGTCGTAATATTTAGTATGCATATGAAACAAAAACTAATGTGCATCACTAATTCAGGCTGTTCACGAACTTTCGACTAGAGTTTCAGCGGAGGTCTACGTTTGCAACAGGTGTCAGGAGTGGGGTGTGGGCGCTCCTAAGAATTTGGTGTATTGGATACCATGCGGACCATTCTCCTTGCTACACTACAAACCCACACCCTAACTTTGTGCATCTAACAAACACGTTGTGGGTGGTTCCAGGTAAACAAAAGACCAACAACACACTGGTCCCTAGGATGGCATTGTGAGTGTGGATGGGTGTCGGTGTCAGTATGAGTATAAGTGAAGGAAAGGTCTACACCCGCACCCACATCCTAATTAACCATTCATCAACAAAAAGTTATTTAACAGTAAGAACAACATTCATTTTACGTGACGTTATACATATGTTTATTTCATCCTTTGAGCATGAATCCTGCATTACTAAGCATATCAAGATCGCTAACATCATTCTTCATCCAGTGATCTCATACATTGTTCGTACTATTTCTGAGAGAAGTAATTAATACACTTGATGAGTTCTGCGGGTTCGTTTTAGAATTCGCCCTTGAATTTGATTGACATTTCTTTTGTCCTATTATTAATCATCATTTGATGTTTTGTGTTGATGTTGTCGTCAATAATCCGGTCGATGATAGATTGCTCCGGATTGGAACTATGACCTATGTTTTTGTTTCCATTTAGGTTTCAATTTTTTCTTTGATTGCTTCGTTCTTTGTTATTATCTTGTCGAAGACTTGTTGTCACTTGTTGTAGTGGTACATAATTGAATTCGGTCATCTGACATTTTTCAATCATTTCACATAGTTTTTCTTGCAGGAGAATTTCTTTTAAGTCAAGCGAAACATAAACTCAATCGGTTGATCATAATGAATTACAACAAATTCGGACAAAAACTGATAAAAGCTTGAAATCTTAGGACCATCAATTACAAACGAAAGACTTGAACTACATTTGTGATTCGTTTCAAAACTAAGGAGAAAAAAACATAATTTGAAATTGCTTAATGGTGTTGGTTTGTTTCCGAAAGTTCATTTTCTTTCTTCAAATATTACATAATGCAGCTGAGATCATATTGTCAATCGAAACAACAAAAAAAACATCAATATTGTTGGATGTTGATACGGATAAGACTTAAAATAGGTCAATTTTATTAATTGATATGTAAAAGATAAACATTACTTTGTTTCTTTTTTATCGCTTCGTGTATAGTCTAAGATAAGTACCATTAATTATGAATGACATCGACTGAAGTTCTGTTCTGATATCTTGTTGTTGACAAGACAAGATAGGACAATAAGAAATACGAAGAGAATAAGACTTGCTATTGTGGCTATCTATAATATGAGTGACAGAATAACAACAAGAGGAAAATGTTGATTGATGAGGATAAGTTGGCGAAGAGAATTCTAGAACAATGATATTTTGAGTATTGTTCTTATTCGCATTTGTCTTAGTTTGATTGTTAAGAGAAGAATGTTGCCAATTGAATATATTGTTCGTTCAAATTCATCAGAGACAAATTTTAATTTTGATATTTTTAATGAACAATGGTTAAAATCGAATGAAACTAATCAATTTCATTGGATTTGTCGACCAAATTTGAATGGAATTCGTCATCGATATGCAACAGATTTGACTGATCTTGAACGAATTAAAATTCGATGTGACATCAATGATCTTCGTGAAGAAACAATTCGAGTAAGTCAATCAATAATATTAATATCAGATTATCTCGTATTTTTTTTCCTTGTTGTAGGTCGATGCTGAGAAAGGACTTGTAATTATCGAAGCATTGCGACAAACACCTGACAAGAACGTTTTTGAAAAACGAATTGAATTGAGTAATGATGTCGATATACAAACGATGATGGCATTTATTGATTCACAACGACACGAACTTATCATTGCAATGATCGTTGCTGATGTTCAACATCGACGTGATCCGTTGACATCGATGAATACATCATCACATCGACGTTGTTCACTACAAAAATCATTTTCGATTGATGCACGACGATCATCAATATCAGGTAAATAAATTTTGAATATTCTCGTATTTTATCTCTCAATCAGGACCGACTACCAATGATCTACTCATGGAAATTCCATCTGAATTTATTCTCACCGGCAAAACATTACTCATCGAAAAACATACAGAATTATTCGTCGATGGTCTTCATATCTCTCAACCTCCACATCCAATTCGAATACAACACGGTTTATGTATTGTTGAGGTGCATGACTCTTCAAAACAATTATCCAATGAGAATGATTCTGAATCAGGTGAGAAAATTGATGTGCGAAACATATGACTTCTTATTTTATTTGTTAATTTTCTAATTAGTGATACAAATCAAAATCGATTTATGCCCGGAATTTCTTCGCAACGAACAAAAAATTATTCTTCGAGAAAATTCAACGATTCCTCTTGGATCATTATCAGGCAATTGGATTGATCTCTATCGAGATCAACATTCAGCACCGGTCATTGATGTTTTCATCGAAATTAATTCAGCTGATTTGATTCGAGGTCGAACAATTCTCATACAGAAAAATAATATATCAATGATCAATCGAGAAGAATGCAACGATGAACAAAAACATCTTTTGAACGAAAATCCATTCACAAAACGGGATCGATTGAATTTGGACAGTCAGTGATAAATAAAAATATCATTTGAATCTTATCGATAATCATTTCTCATTTTAGATCTTATGGAAATAACTCTCGAATTGGCTCCAGATGTGTTTTCTACTGGCAGATCGTTTATAATCCGACAGGAACTCGCTTCTCCATTGGCCGTCGAACTTCAACAACATCATCATCATCATCATCATTCTCCTCTTGACTCCGATCGAGAACAGGTCTGAGAAAAAAAATTTTCATTTTTCATCGCTTTCACGATATTTCATGTAATACAAAAAAAGAATCATATCGATGATTATTGTAGATAAAACATGATGATACCGAAACAATAATGTCAATCAAAAAATTCATGACAAAACGTGTATGGAATCCATCATTATCGTCCGATGAGCGTCGATTACAATTTTGTGTTCCTTGTCTCAATGCAACGATGAAAACTCAACCCGATCAATATCAAATCAAGATAGATGAACATCAGCATCATCTACGTGTTGAACTTCATTTAGAACCGAATTATATTCGATATCGAGAAGTTCTATTGCCTGTCTCGGTTCAACTCAATCAACTTACATGTCATTTCGATGATCACATGACTTCTCTGAACGTTTCTGTTCCTCTTCAGTGAACATTTTTTGATTGCTTTATTCTAGTAATAGAATCCCAAAATTTTCCTGCATTATGCTTTTGTGGAATTCACGTATATTTTCGAAGAAAATAATGAGTGTAAGTTTTAAGGTCAAGTTTTGGCGGCTCCCCCCCCCCCCTCCCCTCCCCATTACAGACAGACCTCCTATTACAGACTTTAGCGATAGAGAATAATAGGTGTCCGATTTTCTAGAGTTTTTTGAAAAATTAGTCAAGTTATAATTTTGAAGCTTAGTCAACATCATTGTTTGCGAGTTGATTAATATATATAATCGTTCATAAAATCTGCCGTAGATATCATGCATATGTAAAATAGACTTATTTACCGATTCATTCAATGATAATAATAATAATAATAATATTAAATTAAAAAAATAAGAATTAAAAAAAAATGAAAAATAATGAGCGAATAGCAACAATGCAAACAAAAAATAGAACGCCTGAAGAAAAAATAAAAAATTCCTGTTTTAAATGTAGAAATAAATGTAGGTATAAATAATAAATTCTCGTTCTTGTCATCGATTATTAGTGAAAACAACTACAGTCGACGAGAAATTTTTCAGTTTACGGATGATGTGTTAGGATAACAAGGTTGAATGATATACGTGAGTTCCACATTTCAGCTCCGAAGAAGCTGGGCTAACAAGCTGTTTTTTTTTCTATTTGATTAAAATGAATCCCACAACTCGTGCATCCTCGTCATTCATTGTAAAACAAAATAAAGATTGATCATTTATCTCTAATACATCGACGGAAAATTAGGAAATAATACTATTGTTGATCGAACTGAGAAAGAACCGTTCTATTTCCGATATATATAATCTTGTTTGAAAAGTATTGAGACAACTATCTATTTTTTTGTCTCTTTTTCAATTTGTGCAGTAAGAATAACAGATTTTTTTTGTAAATGAAATATCCTGACGCCTATGAGAATCAGTAATCGAGATTATTTTTTCGAATTTTAGGAAAATTTTTTCGCAAAACTAATCTAAATTCCGAATCGTACAGGACAAGATTCACTTCTCTTTTGCACAGCGATACGAATTCATTGGACGCGTCTAAACAAGACGCACTGATGTGCAAATGCAAAATAACTACAGCAACACCCGCAGCTATTTTTTAGCAACTAACATAGCCGCCTTTTTTAAAACTCTCATCGAGAACCACTGCGACTATCAAGTGCTAATATAACGATAGTCTTAGTTTTGTTCGATTGTACGATTCCTAAATGAATTCAAATCTTAAACGAGGTTGAATTCATCAATAAATGGGTGTGGGTTTCTCTTCATCAACACTTACATCCACACCCACACCCACACCCAACGAATTGAATACTGAAAAAATGAAAACCAAAACAAGGCCATTCATTATGCACCACCCGTTGTATGCACCGGTTTATTTTCAAAATAAGCGAAAGTCTGTGCGACTAATTCTTCTTTCACCTTTTTGATCCTCTAATATGTCTTCGTAAAAAAAACCAAAATATACCACAAGATGCAGCGTGAGAAGCTCTATAATTTATACAGTCAAGTTTATGGTAACTGCTTTCAAAAAAAGCAAAATTCTATGCAATCAATTTTTGCGCACGGTAGAAATTTGATCACTAGAAATTTTGTTCATTTTTAAAACAAAAGATGCAACTCTAAAATAAGCGACCTTATGTAAATTGTAGAGCTTTTTATACTGCATCTTACGGTATATTTTATTTTTTAATAAAGGGAATTAAATGCTGAAAAAATAAAATGCAAAATGTGGCCATTTATTATGTCCCATCCGTTACTGACGATTGTATATGTGGTTGAGATGAATCTAAATGTACAACCGTATATGAGAGTCATGCACGAGAGTAGAGGTGTGTAGAGTTACCATACCCTATTCTATCCTATTACTGATAATATGTTTTGTTCATTAGAAATTTCAAAAGCATTATAAATTATTGCTTTGTAATGAAAAATAAAATAAATCAGAAAAACATGATACTATTTTACTATTTACCGCTTTTAGAATCTTCCTCATAGAGTAGGATTAAGGGAGAGTAAGAATTAATCCTGTAGGATAATAGGATAGACTAAGGGTATAGAATAATATGCTGCATTGGAGTCGGAATGATTGGGAAGAATTTTTTTTGGAGTCAAAGTTCTTTTTCTGTCATTTTTGAAAAATCATCGGACAAAACGTAAATTCGATACTAATAAAAGTTGTTCGTTTTTTGACTGATTGGTTTTACTTATTCATCTTTTCAAAATCCTAAGTTCTAAAAAGATTAGGACGTCACTGAACTATACAGAAAAAAAGTTCTCGGAATTTTTTCCTTGTCATAAAAATTGCGGTACTTTTGGTGATTAATCACGATTAGCTAGTGACTTCTCAGATATGACAATAAATCAATTCTCATTAATAAGCGATTTTCTAACAAACTTCAACAATAAGTATTATAATATAAAATAAATATTCTTTTTTCTTCTATTTATATCATCTCAAGGAAGACTATGTATTATTTTATTTAAAAAACTTTTCTTTGATCCAGATCATTTGATCGACAAAGTAGACACTCATATGATTTGAATCGAACAAAAACTGGTGGCAGATCGCAGTGTATCAACCGCTGCTATACAGGGTGTGTGGGTGTGGGTGTTTGTTGTTCCCTTACACTCACATCCGCACCCACAAAAGTATGAAAAAATTTATCCTCAGTTATTATGGAACACCCTCTAAAGTTCGTGAAAATTTTTGCAAAAATAAAAGGCTTATTCTTTATATTAATTATTTGTTTTCTTTTTCTAACTTCGTTATCTATTGTTTATATTTATACCACATACACAGCACAGTATGGTCTATCTATACGTGTACATAATAATCATTTGACTTTTTCATCAGAGAAAATGAAAAGAAAAAAAAATCAAAGGATATAATTTCAATTTTCGTGGACTGTATAAGTCTGTTTTTTGTTGTTTTCATTGTTAATAGTTTTTGTATTGCTTGTTTTTTTAGTAGCTCGGTTGTAGTTTTTTAATTTTTTTGTTCACTTTATATAATTTGAATATGAATTAAAATAAACCAAAGAAACTGAGCTATAAAATGAAAACGAAAACTCATTTTTATTTTTTAGAAAATGCTCGATTAGATAAATTCTATGCAAATCTCCAGAAATGCTTACACGAATTGATTCTCGATTTCCTAATTGGAAAATCGAATTTCTTATTTTTATTTTCTTAAATATCATATTTTGAAGAAAGTAGAAATTCACCGATGAATTCCTATGAGCATTCCTAGAATACGTTTTTTCAATATCTGTAGATTATTTTCTATTTTATAGTGTGCATAAAGACAACGACCACGTAAGAAGTCGAAAAATTTCTATTCCTTTGTTTTAGATAATGAGCACTAAGAAGAATTAAAACAATAATTCTTCTCATTGACAAAAAAAAACATAGGTTAAAAGAAGTATGGTAAAAGAAGTAGGTTAAAAGCACGATAACATATATAGAACAGGTGAAGAGAAAGAAAAGAAAAGAAGAACAAAAGTGGTTTACTCTATACCAATTTTAATTTTTATACTGATCCTTTAATATAATCGATTGTAAATAAATTGTAATTATTGAGTTTTAAATTTCTTTACAAACCAAATTAATTAATAACTAACCATTTAAATAATTTACTGATCAATCATTTACGTTACTGATTTTTTTAATTATTTCATTTACTGACCATGTCATTTATTTTACTGATCGCGCAACTCATATTCCCACTATGAATATGTTATCTGATTATTTTTCAGTTATTAACTTAGAAAATAATTTGGGTTTCAAGAAACTTTCAAACATTCAAACTATTTGCGATGTATTCAATGTACAATCAGTTGAAAAAATTATATTTCATGAATATTACACATTATTGCAATTATATTTAAAAGTTCCTCTTATAAACGGCTACGACTCAAAGATCTTTAAGTGCTATGAATAAAATAAAGACATATCTAAGATCAATAATGACAGAACAACGTTTCAATTATGTCGTTATTCCTCGTATTCACAAAGAAAAATTGGGTTAATTAGACTTGAACAACATCTGCTTTGATTTTGTTTCAAAAAATCAGATTTGAAAAGCTTGTTTTGTTCACGAATAATAGTTTTTTTTAATTCTTATGATCATTTTTATTTGCTTTGGCAATACTTTAAGCTTTTTATTCATCTGCTGGTTACTTTTTAAAAATTTTGCTAGTACAGTAGAATTCTTCATCAGTTTATAGGTATGGAAAATGGGTGTATACAGAAATATCTCTTTAATGAAAGTTCTGATCACTTAACGAAAAAATTCCTTTCCACTTTTAATGTTGTCCTTTCATCATTGTTTGAAAAAATTTTTGAACCTCCACTAAATTAGAATCGTTCCACCGTCTATACTAGGATTCTCATAATGATCGACAAACTATTGTCAGTAAATCCATAATATTTTGTGTATTGTGTGCGAGGATTAAAAAAAAGCAAAATACAACTATTGTACTGTGCACATGTTTACAAATATTTTTCGTTTATTATATTTTGCTATCCCCTCTTATCCCCATTTTGTTGCTTGTTACAGTAGATATTTTGAGAGAAGAAAAATACTAGCTACTCAAAAAAGCAAAAAATAAGAGAGACAATAAATTGCACACAATTTAACTCAGAATGATAGGGGGTGGTAGATATTTACGAATATCCGATTTGCTCTTCATCATTATCCAACAAGCTGCTCGAACTATACATGACAGAACAAGCAAAACGATGTTAATATACATATGAAAACAAAAAATCCAAATATCATATGACAATGTCTTCATATTATTTCACGTATATGGATGAATGCACAAAAACAAACCGTATTTTGTGATATATGTATATAACCAACAGAATCCTTTTATTTTATGCATAAAACAACATTGGTAGATTACACTATTACTCAGGTTGTGTATACAGAAGATTTCGCACGAATACAACAAATAAATGTATGTATTTCAAAAGTGTTCTCTCTTCAGAAGGTTTTCTAAAGCATTAGTATCGAGTGACTTTTTATATCGTCAGATGTTACCATTAATTCTGTGTAGTATTATTTTCATATCATGGTCATTATTTTCTTGATGGTGAAAACATTCTGAGATTTGTTAAGAAATGAATAATAGAGACTATCTACTGTAAAGTCACTATCCTCACAAAAAGTCTATAGCAAAGATTGTCAATCTGGTTTTTGAGTTCCAACATAGAAATACAATCATTCAGTATTGTATTCTTCTCTAGTATTTTATAACTTGCTCGAATTCCACTAAGCATTTGGACAAGTACCAACATAGTATAATGCCCACAGCAGTTGTACTTTCTCTGCAAGTTAGTTAGATGTAAAACCTCATAAGTACTTGAAGAATAGTACTTTTTGGACATTCAAGCAAGAGTTTGTTGTTTTACTTGAGTGCTTGCACAAAATGACGCGTACTGTGGACATTATCTGTGAAAGCACTTGCTCATCTGCTCGACACAAGCCCATCATTTAGTGTGCCAACAATCAATTAAATTCGTTTGTATTCAAAACGATGTTTTAAATTCTACTTGTTTCATTCAGATAAAAGAAAAAAAATGATGCAACTAGTATTTATGATCTTGCTTCTGCCAATCGTAAGCAGCGGTGTCGCCAAATATCGTGACTGTAGCGCCTATATTATCGGTGAAACGTATCAACTACAAGTAATAAATCCCATTGCCAACAGCTGGCAATCTGCTACGTTTCATGAAGACGGCACAATTACCATAATAGACAGTATGCAAAGTGGTGTTGGTCCAACAGGAAATATCTTATTTCCACCATTTACTACCTTGATTGGAGTTTGGCAATGTTCTGGAAAAAATCGTGTTCAGCTTCGACTTATCGACTATAGTCTTCAGAGGCCTGATACTACTGCTCCGGGTTCATTGGCTTTGGTTCACCACGAGTTGACCATCTCGAAAAATGGTGAAAAGCTGACAGGAACAACCGGATTCTCAAGCTATGAGCTCGGTGTTAATCCAATTAAGCCCGGTGCGAAACCAATTCCTGGACAAACGTTCGGACCATTCACAGTCATTGGTGAACGACTTGATTTGTTTAAGCACTAGTTTGATAAAACAAGATCGTCGGCAGCTGAAAAACAAACTTTAAAACATTTTCACTTCTATTCTTTCTTTTTCTGCTCATTTTCTGCTCATTTTATCTTCATAAATAAATAAATTCATTCAATTGTTCTCACCTGAAATCGATGGAATATAGAACGAATTTCGTCCCAGTATGTCGTGGGACGGAACAGAAAAATTCGCAAAAAGGCTTCGAAAACTATCGATAGGATGGCGAAGGCGATGGGTCCTATTCTTAGGCTGAAGATGTGAAGCTATCGATACTTTAAGAGAGCCACCATGAGGGGACCAAGAAACTGAAGTACTGATCAAAATTTAAACTTTTGATTTCTTTTTATTCGACTTAGATAGCTCTTCATCTGAAACCACAAAATCCGAATTTTGTGGACGTTTAAATTCTCTTCCTTTGATTATTTAATTGAATATTTTAATAAATTTTAATTTTTAATTTCTTTTCTTATTATAAAATCATGTGAGGTTTCATTGCTATAAGCAACTTCTTGAGACAAATTACAATAGATTTACGATACATAAAATAAACTTAAAAAAATACATATTACTTTCTAATATTCATCATTTTAAATGAAATCTAGTTTGAACTGCATCACAAGAAGAATGTTTCTATGCTGATATGGCATAAAATTCTAGAAATTTTCTTTATTCAACACTAAAAAATTGTCATAACCCTTAGTATTTAGTACTGATAAATCCCATTTTAATGCGCTTTAATTTGGTATAAAATTTGTTGTTGATGCTATTTAAAATTACAGTGTTACTCCCCCTTGAATAATATTATTTCCGACTGTGTAGTTCATTCCAGCTAATGCGTGTCAAACATAAACAGTTAATGTTTTAGTTCTGCTTTGTTTGAAAGATTAATTATAGATCATAAGAAATCACATATTGAAGTTTCGTATGAAAGGAACATAATGTCGCCAATCATAAAGAAATAAAAATGGCATTAGGTAGATGATACAAGACAAATAGATTGAAAAAAGTTGTTTCTAGAAGAAAGAGAAAAAACAGCTAGATCAAACAAAACGCATATTCATTGAATAAGTTGAAACTGGATCAGTATTCTTTTTTGTAAATCTCAATAATTTTAATTTCGAATTTTTACTTTTAGCATAAATTTAAACAGTTGATATCATTTTATTGTTGAAATCTTCTCTATAAAAATCTATTGTTATTCTTGATACGATTCTTTTACAGTGAAATCAATATTGATTTTTGTAACCATGAACGAGCGAACTCAATAAATATTAAAATCAAAATTACATGGGTCAGTCAAAAAAAAGTTCTCGGACTTTCAAATATTTATTCATAAAAAGAACATTTTGCTAATCTGTTTACAGTAAATGTTCGCAGTAGTCCCCATGGTGTTTGATAGTAAGTTTCATTCCTTTAATCCACTTCTAAAATGTCTTTTGGTATTCATGAATAGATATCGAATTGACCTCCATGGTTATAACTTGTAGCGTCTGGATATGTATCAAGGTTACATTTCAGACAATTGAACTATCAAAAGTCTGAAGGATTAAGACCAGACTAGTATGATGAGTGAATGATAACTTTAGATTTTCCTTCTTGAACATAATTAAGATCAAGATTAATAACCTGCATACACGTTTTCGCATTTCAAGATGCAAATTTAATCCCATGTTTTTCGATGATGATCTTTTCTTGTATGAATTTTTGAGTAATCTTTTTAAACATTAATCGTGATAATACATGTAATAGACTATGTCTAAGGCGGTAGCAATATATCACTACTAATATGTCGATCATCATTCACTGTATCTGTAACAACATCAATACTTTGTTGAATAATAGCGGTTATTGGGCGAACACTTCGAAGATCGCCTTTCAGCGACTCTCGCCCACTTGGAAATCGATGAACTCAGTGGGCAACTACACCATATGAAACATAGCCTTGACCATAAGCAGTAGTTAATTCATCATGAATTTGTGTTGCAGTAAAACTTAGTAACAGCCAAGTTTTTATATATAAGTGTATTCACTGTTTATTCGATTGGAAACAGAGTTAATGATGTGAAGGATTTATTTTTCCTTATGAACTATATATGTACATGCTCATTTTCTTTTTCTTTCTGTTATGTGCCTGTTTCTTTAACTCTTCTTGATCATTGAATATTGTTCGTTCGTTTCCTTTCATTATATACTCTAAATTCGTTTCTGTTCTCTCTCGGTCAATGAACATTGATATTGAGGGTGTGGGTGTGGGGTGCGGGTGTAACTACTCCATTCATCCACATCCACAGCCACACCCACACCCTTCTTTTCTCTGGTAGCTATACCATTGTACTATGCCTAATCAGAGTTTACATTCTGTTAGTGGTAACAGAATTCTATTTTAAATTCTGCTGATATTTTTAAATTCTTCATTAGAATTTTTTTTTGTTCGGGATATACTATTGTTGTATGGATATTCATAGTTTATATTCTTTTAGTGGTAACAGAATTCTGTTTAAATTCTGAGTGTAGTGGTTAGTAGTTTATTCCCTAGTGGGAGTTTTCTTAGGGAACTAATCCATTGTTTACCGATTGGATTTTTAAATTCTGAATTCTACTTGGGAAGAATTCTGTAGCTCCTCAAAAAAAGACTCAAAACCTACCATAAATTAGTAAAGACATTAACCTTAAATTCAAGGGGGGGGGGGGGGGGGGGAAGCGTATTCCGTCTATCCCTGATACCATGGAGCGCTGCTATGTGAGTGTTGAATTCGTGTTGGAATTGTGTTTCTATTTAACAAAGATAAAAAAAAAATTATAATCTTCTTCATTTTATTTCATAAACAATTTTCAATTCGAATTTTATTTCAATTAACGAATCCACAATCGAATCATTTCATTTCGAGACACATCTTCGACAAAAAAAGGTGAAAAATTAGATACCATCCATTGAGCAAGTTCATTCGTATTTGGTTTATCGTTATTCGACTGATCAAGTTCACATTCGACTTTCAATGCACGTAAATTGGGCATATGTTCAATTAAATCAAATATATATTTTCGATGATCGAGAACAATGGATAAAACTTGACATTGACCGGCAAATGTTGATCGAAGAAATGCAATACATTGTTGTTGATTAAAACATCGATCTCGACTTGGATAATGTGAATGTTGAAGATCAAGTTGACGAATTGATTTATTTCTAATGTAAAATGGTATTTCTTGTACCATTGATGAATGCCATCCACCTATGGTTAATGAATATAAATTTATCATTCGATCGAGAAGTGTTTGTAATTGATGAAAAACAATAGTCGAATCAGATTCAGAATCATCGGATACTGTGAGTGAGATAATTCGATCAAAATATGGAAGAATTGAAAAAAATTGATCGCCAAATGGAAGTGTAAGATTGAGATGTTGAATATTATGAAATAGAATATTTGATAGAAATGAATTATTCAATGGTGAATAATAATAATTTAATTTTATTACTCGATCATATGATTGATAGTCAGTTTCCGATGAACATGTTGATTTCATTCGAGTACTAAAATTGCGACAATAAATTGCAAAAAAATCAAAATAATATGGAAGAGTATAAACAAATAAAGATGTATGTTGATCCTTTGTATTCCATTGAATACGAACGAATGTTTTTCGTTCAATGAGCCAAAATGGAGTTTGATATGAGAGAAGAATTCGATCAATATCAAAATGTTCATCATTTGAATGATCAATATTATAATACATTTGAAATCGAAATTGTTTCAATTGAGATAAATAACTAACAATAATTTCTTCCCATTGATAACCATCGAAATTAATGTGTTCACTAATAATTGTTAAATAAATTAAATTTGGTAAATTCTTGATAAGATTTCTCAGAATAGTATCTGATTGAAAAATATGAAGTTTTAATGAAACAAGAGAAAAAATAGGTGATAAAAATAATTTATTATTCGAAGAATAATAAACATAAATATCTAAATAACGAAGATTTGTTGTTGATCGAAATAATCGAATTAATTCTGTAATATTCAATTTGATATGTTTAGTCGAAAGATATTCGATGGATTTTGATCGATATCGAGCAATTGGAAAACGATCATTGTACAAAATGTACCAATCAAGATGACAAGATTTTAATTTCAATAAATGCCAAATTGAATTCAAGACATTATGTAATGTTTTTCGATGGTATTTGAATGTACATTTTATAAAATCAAGACGATGAAGATGTAAAAGATGACGACATTGTCCGACAATTTTTTTTAATAATTCATTCGAATAGATATGATAGATTGAAAGTATTTGTAAATGAATAAATCGATTGAGAGTAAAACCTTGAAAGAAAAAGAGATCAATTTGATGTGGAGTATCATCGTCGTATGATAAACGTAAAGCAATAATTTGTTCGATCATTGTTGGTAGATTAAGACGACAGATAATATCGAAATCATCTTTGGATATTGATCGAAAATCGAGGCCATGAGTTTGAAAATGGACAAGGAGAAGATTGTCGAAACGAAAGTTTAGATGAGAAAAAGCACGAAGAAGATGAACACTGTTCATATATTCGAACAGTTCGAGCAAGAGTTCATTAGGCAATTGTTCGAGATTCATTTTTTGTGTTATTTAACTAGAAATATTTGTAGAGAAATGAATGATACTGTGTAGGTCATCGATGACGAAAAGAAGACAGAATTCCCAGGCGAGCAAAAAATAAGGGTGACGCTCGACATGACTAGTCTAAATTGTCCGTAGTACCCGTCTGGACTAGTCTAAAATGTCTGCACTGCCGTTTGGACTAGTCTAAAATGATTTGCAGCTAGTCAGGACTAGTCGTCTTCACAAGCAACGTCTTGCATCTAAAATAGACTAGTCCAAAACATGCTCTAATCTTGTCATGGCTAGTCCGTTTTGTATGTGCATACTGTCCAGACGCGTCAACTTGAAGGCAAAAGCTAGCAGAAACGGAGGCGATAGGTGGATTCGAACATTCAAGCTGACAATATTGGATACCTGACTAGTCTAAACTGTTTTCAATAGGTAACGCGGACTAGTATGAAGAGTCATCTATATTGATCATAACTAGTTGTTTTCGAGAAAGTAATGCCAATTCTGGTCCAGGCTAGTCTATCCTTCAAAACAGTCTTTATTGCTTGGACTTAATCATTCGGACAATTCGTTTAGACTCGTTTGTATTGGGACTAGAACGATGTATCTAACGAGAGTTGGCTATTTATGTCCTTTTAAATTTTTAAATTGTAATAACAATCAAGAATAATTTTATTCGAAAAATTAATTTTAATACATTGATATGAGGATATTGTTTTATTTCAATATAAAACCTAATGATTTGAATTTAAAAATGGATTTAAACGGTAGAATCATAGTTCATTTTCAAATTTAAATAGGAAATATTTTAAATTAAGATAAACATAAACCATGAGATGAAAAGCAAGATTTTTTTTTGAAATATATATATTATTATTTTTATTTTGATTTAAATTTTAATTGTTTTTTCCAAATGTCGATAATCAAAAAAAAATTCTGTTGAAGGAAATCAAAAAAAATTCTGAATTAATTTTGCTTAGCTTTATTTAACTAATTTTCGATTTTATTAAAAGTAGTTTCTATAAATATTAAAAGTGGAGAAAATGCTGAGTCAAACTGTAGTAATTAGTGTCTTCAGATGTGTATTGACATGTAAAAGTTGATCACTAGATTATATGGCTCAATCGGGTAGACGACGAGTAAGTAACACAAGGTATGCATGTACGAATCTAACTTTCTGCACATATTTCTATCATTTAGACTAGTCCGAACTAGACCGCTACATAAGACTGAAACCTAATAGATATCGCGTCACAGGCGCTCTGCCTTTTTTAATTTAAAATCTATTTTCGGACGGGATGCCTAGACGGAGTTAAAGATTCCAAACCATTTTGGACTAGTCATGTAGTAGGACTTTTTGAGAAAAAGACTAGATATGACGCATAGTCGTGACTAGAAAAATGACTAGTCTTTTTACCCGTCCTTTGCTCGCCTGAGAAGGAAAGAAAAACAAATCTATTTTTCTTTTCTTTTCGTTCAGATTCGAATTCATGTCGAGATAGAGTGATTCGTCTATCGTGCGTATAACATAGAAGAATGATCGTTCTATTTGAATAATGACTGTGAAGAGAACGAAGAAGAGAACCAATTTGTTATTCTTGCTATTTTTGCATCATTTATGAGAAACAATTGACTGAGATTAACTAATCTAATTTTTTTATGTTTTATCAATTTTGTCTAAGAATATATTCTCAAAAGATTCATACTATGTAGATCATATAATAAAAATACAAAAACAAAAAGAATTAAAAGATGATATTGAAACACTGAAGTATTGAGTTCAATAAAACTTTACTGCAGAAATTATTTATAGTTTTCATACTCGTTTATGACTAACCATGGAGATATTTAATCAGATCTTTTCAATGAAAAAAAGATTTTTAATTTGATGGATTTATTCCTTTTTTGCACTGATAACTCTGTTTAAAAAGGTATGGATAATTTTCTCTTGACAAAATAAAATGTACTTATTTTTGCTAATTTAATTGACATTTGTCATACTTGTATTGTCTTAGGTTTTAAGTAGTACAGTACAATTAGTTAATTTTTATATACTATAATAATTAAAATAACTATTACTATTTCTTTGTTTGTATCTTTTCAAACAATGATATATTAAACTAAAAATTAATCAAAATCTGATTGTGTTGATGATAGTTGGCCAGATTCATTATTAGATTAAAAGAACTTTCTCATTCTTAAAATATGAGATCTGCTAAAAAAGTCCATCTCATTAGCGTCAAAAGTAAGAACCGTGAAAGTTATTTTATATCTCAGAATCGATTTCTTATTACGACTTGAAATTTTTCTCTTGAAAAGTACTCATAGATTATGCACTGACGTTCACAATTATGTTGACATGATCAACTGAAAACTGTTGATCGCTGCTAAAGAGTTAACTTCATAAGTGTATTTAATAATAGTTCTGCACATATTAACAATTCTAAATATAACTTTGAACAACATACTAAGAAAGAACTTGTAGAGCACTGCATATTAAAGATCTTATCCGATACCTTGAACTTTCATTTAGTGATTTCGTTGCTTCTCTGAAGTTTCAAATCGATTACTGTTCATATTCAATAGATAAAGATTTTCAATTGCTACAATATGCATATGTAGGAATCACTGAGAGATATTTCGATTGGAAAATAGGTGAGATAAATTTTAAACGTTAATATTTCGATTCGAACCAAAGCGTTAAATGTATCTCAAACGTGAAAATAAGTCATATCTCAATAATGAACTATGCAAATTGTTCAAATTTTTTATGCAGTTAAGACTTTGAACAAACCTATATTTATCAAAAAGCCAGTTCAAATCCGAATGATTTGTCGCTTATGAAATGTAAAATACGTTTTTGAGAACATTTCTTTTGATACATACTGATTATGAAAAACACATCGATTTGGTTTAGTGATTCAACATTTTCGTACTTGCCACAAGTACCGAAGAAAACCATAGTTAAATAAGAAGACAACTAATGGAGGGAAGACGAATGTATTGACATAAACTCTATTAGATTTGATCAAACAGAAATATAAAAAACTACATAAATTGAGCAATAGATATACGAAAAATAAAAACAATGTTTAGATATGGATCACTTACGAGGAAAATCACTATGACTGATTATTATAAAAAAAAAAAAAAAAAAAAAAAACAATATTCAGGATCTTTCTTTTACAGCGTACAACATTATTCATTTACATTTTGTTCGTAAGAGAGTAAAAATCAGAATTTAAATATGGTAAACTTAATGAAGAACATGAGATAGTTTTCACGGTAGGCACTACGATAAAAAAAAAAGACTTTTTTTATGCTTTGACGTATGGGTTACGAATAATTTGTTTACTTTTCATAAAAATCAAAGAAACTTTCTTTGAATGTGTTCCATGTTTTTCTCGTTCATGAAAAAATTTCAGTTTAGTTTTCTCATTCGATACTGTAATACTAGCTTCAATTAAAACATAGTGACACAAAAAGAACATTAACAGAAAACGACGGAATCCCTAGTGAAACATCTTGCATAATACATTCTGAAAGCGTGCTTCGAACCTATCAAATAGCGCATGTATTATTTTTTTCTGTAAAACAATGTAGTGACATTTTTTCAATTTGTTTTCATTTTAATTGTTCATATCCGAAATAACTGAAGCAAGTCAGGTCTTGGAATCTGCCTGATCTTGAGATGGTTCCATCTCCGTCAGACTGCTTCAGAGTAGTCCTGTCTCAATCATCGATCGAGATTAGCATGTTCTCGAATGATCAACACTCAAGAAATAGTTTTAAAAAAAAACTATGTTGAAAATGTATGTTTTGTATGTTCAATCACATTGTTTATATGTGGCTCTATCTGCATTAAAAAGCGATGAATGACTAGTCAGCATGTAAACACTAATGATGTCGCTCTTTTATTCAAGATCTTGTGAAAAGATAATAGAAAACGATATCTTTGTTATGATCTTGACAAGATCTTAAATACAGATTTATCTGATACAACCAAGATATTCACATACAAATTATCTTTTCAAGATCTTATGAAGATCTTGCTTACAAGATGTTCGACTACGGATGTGATCAATCGAAGATGTAGTAACTTGTTTGATATTGATTATTTTCTGTGAACGATAAAGAAAATATTTCAAGTCTATTGAATAAAAAAAAAAAGAATTGTTTTAACTGATTGTGTATGATCGCATTGTAACACACTAAAACGATTCTTAAATCTTGTAGTTTACTACATAGCATTCTTGAATGTATACATGCAATTTTAACTTTGAAATATAATAATAGTGTTCTTTCCGGGAAATTTTTTCTGAAACAATCGTTTACCTTCGTATCACGAATCAAATGATCAAGACATCTTTAGACAGTATTTCCAATAGCAGATCTATTTAGCTTTTATTTTTCATAATTTTACATTGTTATATGAAAAAACAGCATTTCATACTTAAATGGACTACGTCAAGGTTGATGTACAAAAAGGAATATTATTCTTACAAGTAACGCGTCGGTTCCATAAGCCTCGTTTAGCTCAAATCTGAAAGCCAGAAATGAATGCATAGAACATCGACTATCAAAATTGTTAAATACATTCGTAGATTTCATTGAAATAAAACCAAAGAATCTTTCCATATGACTCAAGGCATCAGTTCTTATTGAAATCCATTATCTTCCTGATAGGGTGTGGGTATGGGGTGTGGGTGTGGGTGTCAGTGAATGACAGAACTACTATCAACGCCCACACCCACACACTTCGATCAATCTAGAACACAAAAATTTATATTGAGGATGACAACACGCTCAAATAAAAACATCTTTCAATTTCGAAATAAAATCAATTTATATAAGATGATAAACATAAAAGGATTTACACTCTCGAAAAAATGTGAATATACTCACTCAATATATGTGATTGACGTTATTGAACAATCATTGTTTCAACATATGGTATAAGTCCATTGAATAATATATGTAGAACATCAATTGTTTGTAAACTGATATGAATATGATGAAGAAATTGATGAGGAATTAAACGTTTATATAATGAAAGTCCATTATATGATTCAAGTTTAATCGTATGGAGAGTACACATTTGACCAGAATAGGATAATCGATTGATTATTTTTTCATTATTATCCATACAATAAACGTCTGAAAAAAAAATATCAAGATTTTTCTTTTTTTATTAAAAATCAAAATTAATGTAGTAGCTCTATTGGAAGGACCTTATGTACGCTCTACCAGAAAGCCTAACTGGTATGGTAGTGGCAACACGACACGGGCCTATTGAGTCCACACGATATTCATTCATGCGTATGCGTGTGGCCGCCACTATCCATCACCAGGGACGGTTTTCTGGTCACGCGCGAATATCTGATATACGGTATTGATTAATCGCGAATAGTCTTTTATTTAATATAAATCATTTTCAACCACACAAACAAATAAATATTATTAATTTGTTGTCTGTTCGATATTAAATTTTTGTACTCGATGATTGTGATTATCGGCGACATAGAGATTACCATGTCGATCGAATGATAAACCTCTAGGATGATCTAATTGATTCGATTGTCTTCCTCGACCGTTTCCACCAACAATCACACTTCCCTGTGTGGCTCCTTTTGGCCAACGCACTACTCGATGATTCCCCCAATCAACCACATAGGCAGTGCCCAATTGATCGACAACGACTCCATTAGGATACGCGAATTGTGTAAGACTATTTCCATACTCTCGTCCACCAGCTACGACAATGCCCTGTTTTGCACCTGCTTCCCATTTCATTACACGATGATTGTCAGTATCGGATACGTACACTGAATGATCTCGATCGACAAATACGAAGTGAGGGCTCCAGAGTTGAGCAAGACTATTTCCTCTTCCATTGCCACCTGCCACTACTGTTCCTTCAGTATCACCAGTTCTATATCGTCTCACATCATTTCTTCCATAGTCAGCGACATAGAGAGATCTATTCTCATCCATTGTCAAACCCCAGCAGTCAGAGAAGTTCGAGATGATTGTTTCTCCACTAGCACCATTTCGACGAGGCCATCGAACAACTCTTTTATTCCCGCGATCGCTGATGATGAGACTATCTCTCTCTCTGTCGACAATCACATCAAATGGATGATTGAATTGATGAGCTCCATTTTCTGGTCTATTTCCACCGGCAACCACTTGACCACTCGTCGCACCATATTTCCATTCCATAATACGATGATTCGATTCCTCAGCGACATAAATCGTTTGATCATAATCGACGTATAAACCCCATGGACTATTGAGTTGATTTAGCCCATTGCCTGATTCATTTCCTCCAGCCACAGTGAGACCATTTTGTATCCATTTGGCATTCGGATGAATGTCAACAGCAGGTGCTCGTAGTGGTACTTAAAATAGAGAAAAATAAGTGTCACAATAAGAGACAGATAGAAGACATAGAGAAGAGAGAGAGAGAACAAAATTTTAAAAAGAGTGATTTTTTCCTGAAGGACGAATAGGAGTGAGGGACATGTGACTGAATCCTACTGAATCGGAATACACGGAGGTTGAGGGCGAGGGTAAACATAGACGATGATGACTATCAGAATGTAGAAATATTGTTTTATTTTATTTTATTGTTTGTCCATTCTTTCATTTGTCTCATTGTCACCACACACATCTTTGTTTTCATCTATTATTTTTTTTTCTTTTTGAGAAACACATTTTGCGCAATTTTATTCCTGTTCCTTGTCCCCGGAGACTATACATCCAAGAAAGTTATGAATTCTCTACAAGTTTATCTCCACTCAAATTCTTTGCTGAACAAGAAGAGAAATTATCAATGAAGAACAAACAACAGTGAGGAAGATAACTAGCGTATGTGTCACACGAGAATCCATCTCCTTCCCTCTCGATTTCGGAAAAAAATTTCTTAACATTTTTTTTTCTTTTTTTCATGAGCGGCTATTAATTAGAAAAAAATGAAATCGACTTTTTGTGAAGCCCTTGAAAACGTGCAATATTGTTCTCTCGATAGAGTTATATAGTTGTCGATGATATTTATATCGAACAACTGCTATTACTACTACTGAAACCTGATACATACACTACTCAAGATTTGTCTTGTACTACATACGGACAATATATTCAAAGATTTTCTAGATTTCAAATCCTAACAAAAAGACTCATTGGTGAACCCTTGGAAAAAGCAAAGAATGCTCTTGAGAGTTCGGCTGTGGGCGTGTGTGGGTGCAAGGGTAGAGACACCTACATCCACATCCATAGCTCACACCCACATGGTCGGAGGTTATTAATAATGATAATTGTACAAAAGGAAAACAAAGGATGAGCTCTTTTGTTTTGGTTTACATGAGTAAGACCTCATTGTGCGACTAAGTCAACTTTCTACATTTTGATGAAATATTATTTTAACCAAACTTGGTCTCCACAATCCAGAAACTATACTTCTTCCATCAATAATGCATAAATATTGAAATCAATCTATGTTGGGAAAATGAAATCTAGCGATGGCATAATGCTTTAATGTGGAAACGAAAATCTAATCGATGATTAAAAGTGATTCTACTATCGTATTTTTGTATTACTTTATAACTTTTTTGTGGTTATTACTTATTAGTGGCAATTAGTAATAACAGTTATTACTATTATTTCTTTATTACTTTTATTACTTTTCAAAATTATTATGTATTACTAGTAATAAGTAATAACATCATTAGTTATCACTTATTACCAGTAGTAGTAATGTGCTATCCCTAATGCAGATTAACATTAAATGCAAAGTAACTACATATACCCGATTTAAAATTAACATATAGCGAGGTTAAAACGCATTAATATAAAGCTTACCCCACTGCTGAGTAGTGGTTGTAGTTCTGAGTGTAGTTGTAGTTCTGGGTGTAGTTGTAGTTGTGGATGTAATTGTGGTGTTCGTCACTATTCATCAATATAAAATATTTATATAAACAAATCAGATAGTATTGGTCTGGGGTAGAATGGAATATAGAACTCGATGAAGTGAAGTTTTAAGCAGACTTCGTAGTCGTCCTATATTTCTTATAATTCCTATATCTTTGAAAATGATCCTATAATGCCCTATTTTTCGAACATTTTTTCTATATTTCCTATATTCTCTAAAAAGTGGACACTTTTTTTTGAAATGGTTTGCATTTTGTCGAGAAAGACAAGCATGCTCCTTCATGTATAACTGATTCCATCAAACGCGATACGAAATAAAAGCTATTGATAATATATAGATATTTTGCAGATCTCTGTCATATTTATTGTCTTAACTCATTCATTTTTTCAGACTTTTTTTATGATGATGACTAATCTATTGAAGAACTAACGTTGAGTTTTGTATAATATTGTGTTATTAAATATTACTGTAAGATCTAATGGGTTTCTTCCTGAATGTATGCATCGCAAGTCAATTCTTCGCATCACTATCATCTTCAAAATTAAAAATAAAAATAATTCATCCAAACATAGCTTAATATTCCAAGATTTTAAAATTATAAAACGTTATTAGAGTCGTAGTAAGTATTTTCATTTGCTGAACCATTACCTATGCAAAAGAGAATTTCACGCTTAGTTCTTTTTCGAAATAGAACCGAAAACAGTGAAGAAAATCGACGCCAGTGTCTTTCAGTTTTCATATCTCATATTACAGTTATGAAAGGATAGCTAATACTAGCCATTACCAGCACAGATGCTTAAACTATCAATACACTATATTTTCGTGAAGAAAGGATTGATAGTGAATTAAAATACTGTCACTGTACTAGTGTTTGCTACATATGCTATATATAAAATTTTTGTTTGCAAACATCTAATTAAAACGTTATGTTTAAATGAAACTTTTTCTGCAATATCGATGTCAAAACGAACAATCAGACTACTGCATTATTTTTATGAGAAGTTTTTTCCGAACCTATAATTCCGACAATGTCATGTATTGTGGAAGATTTGTTAGAATTGAACAACAGGTACATAGCCAGAAATTTTCTCAGGGGGAGGATTGACTGTTTTAGGGGGATCACCATGTAGGAAAACTGTTTTTTTGCTCGGCAAAATTTGATCGATCCGTACCCCCTCCAGGTATTTGTATTTTTCAGGGAGGATCGATCCCCCTAATCCACCTCCCTGGCTACGACCCTGTTTAACAACTAACAGTTGGGCGTGTTCCACACCAGAATTCACATTCCCAGTTTTGCAAGACTTTATTTAATTTACGTTAATAAGAAAATAAGAAATGATTTCTTGAACAACAATAAAAATGGTAGAATAATACGGTTAACGTAACAACCTCAGTCGACTGAAAGAGATATCTTTTCATATAATTGTAATTAATATTTATATATATATGTAAATTATAAAGTTCTCGCGTGTGTCACTTGGTAATGGTAAAAAAAAAACAGCTAACTTAAAACAAAAAAAAGGTAATAACCAACTATTTTTCTTCGTTATTAAGTTTCGTATTTCATTTGCTTTAGAGTTGTTTTCATGCACTCATTAATATGCGCCTATCAGTAAACAGAACAGAAGCTAGCACTTAATTTAAACTTTCTGAATAAAAAGTTTTATCCTTTTTTTCTCAGTAGTTTGAACTTGCATTCTTATGGAGTTTATCTAAAAATCTGAGACGTAAATTGTGTATGATTTTACCCATTTCTGCAGTGGTTCTCAAATCCTTTTAAGGTGTTTTTTGGAAAAAGAGGTTGTCCTATATTTTTCCTATATTTCCACGGAAATCCTATATAAATATTGTTTCTGAAGTCCTATATTTCCCTATATATCTCCGAAGGATCGCTATGCAGCCTGGTTTTAAGTGAAACATAAGCAAAGCTGTAAACTAGAGCCACGTTATCAATCGGTCTGGAAAGCGAATTTTTCATTTGAAAAACTATTTTGTCATGGAAAAGCTTACTGTATATTTAAAAGTTCATGTAGAGTGCTTGGAACGAATAGTCACTGTGTCCTCATACTTTGCTCGGTAGAATTGCAACGAACTCAGCATTTAAGACTATTGGATATATTCGAGTTCTACTTGACTATATACAGTGCAGACAAAAAGTTCCATGACATCCGAAAATAGTTCTTCAAAGCTTTATGTTTAAGTTGAATCTGACTTCAAGCATATGTTTGGCCTTGTTACTAGACAAACTTTCATATTTTATTGTACAAACGAAATACACTCATTCGTGTTAGTAAAACAATGTTAATAAAAAAAACCTCCAGCGGCAAAAAGTTCCGTGACAATTTTCACCCCCCATTCATCTATTTGCTCTTTTCGATAATGAAACCATCACTTTTTCAGTTATAAACAACACCATTAGAAAGAGCATAAAAAATTGTATATAGTGAATGTCTTTTCATTTGTGAGTTTTTCAGAGCATGGATATTTTCTGCAATGTGACTTTCTAGTTTTTTTTTTACTGATTTTCCCATAGGATTTTCTACTGATTATTTAAACCTTTCTATAAAAATCACTGAAAAAGAAGAGAAATAGTCTCTCTTCTTCCTTCATCTTGAAGAGCAGAATTAGTTCGACAAAACAAGACGTTTTGCAATCCTCTAACGTCTCAAATAATTGTGCCACGTGGTAACAAAAAAGCGAAGTCTCTTTTGTTCGCTTTTTCTCACGAAAATAATTGAGATATGTCGAAATTTTGGGTTTCACTTTTTCTTCATCTTGTGATGCGTTTATTTGAGATGTTAGAGGGTTACAACGCGTCTTGTTTTGTCAAACTAATTCTGCTCTTCAAGATGAAGGAAGAAGAGAAACTATTTCTCTTCTTTTTCAGTGATTTTTATAGAAAGGTTTAAATAATCAGTAGCAAATACTATGCGAAAATCAGTAAAAACAAAACAGTAGAAAGTCACATTGCAGAAAATATCCATGCTCTGAAAAACTCACAAATGAAAAGACATTCACTATATACAATTTTTTATGCTCTTTCTAATGGTGTTGTTTATAACTGAAAAAGTGATTGTTTCATTATCGAAAAAAGCAAATAGATGAATGGGAGTGAAAAGTATCACGAAACTTTTTGCCGCTGAAGATTTTTTTTATTAGCATTGTTTTACTCACACGAATGAGTGTATTTCGTTTGTACAATAAAATATGAAAGTTTGTCTAGTAACAAGGCCAAATATATGCTTGAAGTCAGATTCAACTTAAGCATAAAGCTTTGAAGAACTATTTTCGGATGTCATGGAACTTTTTGCTCGCACTGTAGATAACTGTTTGTTGCCTTACTTGTTATTAGTGGACAGAGATTGCTATTGTAACTCGGCATTGGATAACAAACAGGAAATTTATGACAGTCAGGATGATGAACACATATATGCTCAGGTTGATAACAATAGTTGTTTGTACGATCGCATTCAATTAGCTCAGAACAATCCACGAATTGAAACAAGCACATACCAGTGTTAATAGCACCTGCCATATGGAGACAGACACACGCACTGTTGGGCGAACATCTATCATATTGAGATATCCCGTGGCATATTTGAGACTTGACTCGAACTACCAACATACTAAATTAATAACTGAACATGTAGAATAGAACGGAAATCAAACCTGTAATGCTAAAATAGAAAGCCGATAAATTTTAGAAGAAAAAAAACAATTAAAAATCAATGATACTCACTTGAGAAGAACGAAAATGGAATAACAGATTATATTTCTGATCATAGCTGATTTTGAAATGAGGCAGTACCGTAAAGGTGTCTAGTGTTTCTATATATCTAACATACAGGTGGTATTTTAAGCCACATTGCTTTAAACTCGAAAAGCACACATTCTAATGCTTCAATAAATGGAAAATCAATATTGCCCATATTACTTTTAATGTACTTATCCTATTCTACAAAAAATATAATTTTCCACAGATTCGAAGAGATGGTATCGGTGCAAATCAGTGAAAGGCTCTTCAGCAAAAAAGAATCAGCGAGAGGATTTGAAGGTGAGAATCGTTCGCTATTGCGCATTTCGCGCCTTTTTTCGCTGAATGGACAGCATATCAAAGAGGCGAACCAACATGTTGTCCACGCTTGACTCAATACATTTTATTGTGATCCTGAAGAAGAATTCTTGTCGACCTTGTTTCTTGAATCACACATATGACAATAAACGAAAGATATGGTCACAGTACTCCGAAAAACAAATATTTAAAGAAAATGTTACAGTCCGTTTTTTCTATTGTATTTTCGTTATTCCAGTCAGAAATCTAGAATGAAAAAATGATGCTGTGAATGCATTTTGGGTGTGGGTGTGGATATGAGTGTGGGTACGGGTGTGGATGTGGATGTGGGAATACATCGGCAGATGACGCACACCCACACCCTCTTTCGTCCACTACCTCCCTTTTCTTCTCTCTCTTCTATGTTCTGTTGATGGCCATCTGTGTGATTCATAAGGATATATATATATATGTGGACCGATTGTTATTAGTTTTAGTTAGTCTAAATAAAGGTGAACTAGAAGTGTGTTAGTCCATAGACTAACATCTCTGCAGAGTCTATAGAAGTCTTGTATTCACTACATGGTTATTACTCAAAGATTTCTTAAAATGAAAAGTGACCTTATTGACCTTCGTCTTTATTTTTGTCATTTCAAATGAATATTCAACTAAAGTAATATTCGCCTACTAGGTAAATTCAGATAGTTTCGAATCAATTGTGATCGATTCGTACACGCACAACTAAATGTCTTGGACGGCAGGTAACTTGTTGTTTGCATCCACCAATATTTTCAGGTGTATCTTCGAATGATACGCCACGCTGCATTAGTCTAGCGATCATCAATTTCAGTTCGAATTGTGCCAAATCTTGACCCAAACAAGCACGATGTCCACCACCAAAAGTAACCATTGCATAGGGATGATGATTTTTATCTTCAAACAAGAATCGTTCAGGAATAAATTCATTCGGATCACCATGATGCCAATACCGTGGATCCTTGTTCATGTTATAGAGAGCAACGTAGAGATCTTGACCACGATGAATCGGTACACCGTCGACTACTGTGTCACGTGTGGCTCTGCGTGCTGTTATACCAGCCACGGGTGCTAATCGAAGGACCTGAAGAGAAAAATCTGAGAATAGCAATCGATAACAAGATTGATGAGCAAACCTCTTTCGTGACACAATCACAGTAAACAAGTGAATCAAGTGTTTCCAAATTCAATAACGATGAATGTGCATTGTCTCCCATGGCAAGGTCATGTTCTTTGAGTTCTTGTTTAATTCTTTGTTGAACTCGAGGATGTTTGCTCATATAGAACATGAACCATGAGAGTGCTGTTGCCGTTGTTTCGGTACCGGCTGTGATGGCCATGAGAACTTCATCAAATATTTCTGCCTGAGTCAGACCGGATGATATTTGTTCATCATTTGCTTGTTCATTGAGTGATGAAACAAGAGATGCAATTAGATTTTTCGGTCGTTGACTTTCACTATCATTATGTTTATTTTGTTCTTGTTCAACAATTTGTTCGGATAATTCACGAAGAACTCTATGTGCACGTTGATATTTCCAATTCAATTTCAAATACAATTTACCTAGCCATCGTGGTAACCATGCTGTCATCATAAACTGACCTGCATAGTATATGAAATCCTGAAGAGCACGTGCACACGACGAATCGATTTGAGCTTCGAGATCATGATCGAATGCAATGAATGCAATAATATTCATCAATAATGATTGACATCGAAGTGTCAAATCTGTATAGGTATGATTATCATCTAGATGTTTGTCGATAAATTGATCGGTACAGTGAAGAATTGTTTCTAGATAGTGGACGATTTTAGCCCGTTTGAACATCGGCAACATGACTCGTGCATGACGTTTCCATTTAGCACCGCTCAACGTAATAATACCATTGGGGCAAAGTAAATCGAAATTGGGTATAAATAATGGTGATTGATCAAATGTATGTCGATCGGAGAATATAGTTTGCGCGTGTTCAGGTAGGCAGAAGACAAGACATTTGTGTGAGCCAGCCCAAAATAGAAATACGTCACCGTACTCTTGTTGATATGCGGTGAAAAGTTCAGGTCCGGTTTTTCGGCCCGTTAATAAACCAGAATTAAAAATATTTCCAAAAATGATCTGAGGTTTCTGACCAGGTGGATCATTGGGAGACGATGAATACTGTCGTTTGAAATAAATATAAATAAGAATAATCGTAAATAAGGCAAGAATCGGAGGGAGTAGTAGAATTGACATCGATAAAGGTTGAAACAAGAAAGGTATATTGTGTGAATATGCTTACGAACGACGCAACATGAAGAATGATATTTTGTAATATCTTCGCCCGATAAAATGTTCTTATCTCTAGTGATGTAGAGAGCAGAAGACATATAGTTGCAACGAAATACGACTTGATTCTGTCATCATAAACACGAATTGTCCACAACTACCTAACGAGTCAATAATAAAATTATCTACTGTAGATGTTGAAGATACATTGCGTTACGTTAGACGATCGAATGTGGAGCTATTCTGGCAACCATTGATCATTATCTTCGGGCTTTAATACCGATTAAGCATGCCTTCATCACTTCTACACTACTCTTGCAGGGTGTGAGTGTGGGTGTGGGTGCAGATGTGGGTTTTGGTTTTTTCTTAACACACAACCACACCCACATCCGTCACAGGGCGCTTTTTTTGTACCCTGTCCTGCCCTTTGCCCTGTTATGTCTTGCCCTGCCCTGCCCTGGACGATAAAACATAACATATTTTTTGCCCTGCCCTGCCCTGAGCGCCTCTAAATTGAATCTCAACTATAGGATGAATTTATGACATGAGGAATAAATCTAATGTGTTTTGTGTTCATTATATATGCCTTGTTTAAGTCATTTCAACAGAATATTATTCATGCGTAGAAACAATCAAAAGTTCGTTTAAATTCTATGAAAACGATACTGTTTTTATACAATTATAATCCTGCTGAGGTGCTATGTTAGTCTTTTTAAATTATCAAGATTATTTTCAAATGTCTCTAGTCGATTAAGATTGAATAACTAATTTTAAAAAAATAAAAATTGATAAATATTTTTCATTAATGAGAAAAAATGTTGAAATCTTATCAGTGAAAGAAAACGAAATAATTGATCAAAAGTTACACGATAATCGAGCGAAAATGATGTCATTTGAGTTTATTCTTTGTAAAAAAAAAAATAACTGGCTTTAATCCAGTATCTTCACTTCTTTTGTACGGATCCAAAGAATAAGCAGGTTGACTGCAGAAAAATCAGATATTTATCAATGAACATACAGATTATGATTGACTGAACGTTATCATTTTATCGATTTGCATCACTACTTACCAAGAGGTTGCGATTCATTTTCTATGTGTTATAAATACTTTTGATGTGATAACCGTGGTTAAACTTTTCTGAAGTGGGGAGAACTGTATTGTACAATGATAAATCAGAATGAATATCAAATTCATTAGTTCTGATGAAACCAATTGAAAAGACAGGTTCATCACTGGTTGATGGAATTCTATCGATAATAGATGTTTTGAAAGATTCCATTTAGCTTCGAAAAAGGCTTCCAAATAAACTTATGTGAAAAATTAACAGAGCAAAAAAAATTTGCCCTGTTCTGCCCTGTACTTTTCTTCGGTCGCCCTGCAGGGCAAACAGGACAGGGCAAAAAAAGAAGTTTGCCCTGAAGTACAGGGCAGGCTAACAGGGCAGCCCTAACCTGATGACGGTCTCTGATGTATAGTAAGTAAATTATGTGTTTACAAAAGAATGACTTTCATTATTTTACTTTTGATTTCTAGAATTCAAGTAATAAGTCATATTTTTTTGTAAAACAAACATCAAAAGAACAGTTGGTAGGACAAAGGTATTGAATATAAAATTCTCTTTGATAAAGTTTTTTTTTTCTTTCTAAAACATCATTCATTAGTAATTATTTTGTTGTTTAACGATAGATGTTTATCATATGTGTGTCATCATATATGATCAGATCTATGATTTTTCGAAAATTCTAAAAGTTTTGAATAATTTTCGATAGGATCATTATACAGATTTGCAGTTAAAATCTTTGCAAAACGATATTTTTTAACTCATATTTTTCCTTACATGTACGAAGAATCGATATTATTAGTTTGTCCCCTTCAGACTCATGAGTTAATCCGACTCATTTGCAATCAATGAGACAAGTACTTATGATGATATATACTTTTGAGGTCCGAAATTATGTTACACTGTCATTTGAGTGGCTCCACTATGTCGAGACCTTCGTTAATTGTGAATGTTGAGACCTATTGTGAGATAACAGTCTAAGTTATCAGAGACTGATTGATAAAAGTGTTATAACTACAAATAGGAGGTTTCGATTCAATTAAAAGTCAAACAGATTTCGAAGCCAGAAATAGTTTCGTAAAAGACGGTAAATATTTTCTTTGTCTTCTAACAAAAGATCAAATCACTTGTTCAGATATGTATCGAAACAGTATTTGAAAGAAGTAAAACTCTCTCTAGTATTATAATTCTATTAAATACATCGATTTTTTTGTACAATTAATTTAGTAAACCAACAGTCTGCTTTTTAGACAAACGACTGATTGACTAAGAAACAATGAGTCTAGCTTTCTTAAAATACATAAACAAGAAGAATAGTTTTGAATAAGTTGAAGCCAGAGGTCATAGACTCGCCTCGTCTCACCGCAAGGCGAGGCAATATTTTTCGTACCGGGGCCAGTACAAGTTGATTTTGTGACTCGACAATAAATGGATATGAATATTTATGTATACATATTCATCTATTCGGTCTAGATGAACAATATCATTTATATAATTTCCAGTGTGAATTTAACAATGTACCTTTGTTATATTAGTTAATTGAAAAACTTACAATAAAAATTTTATTCTAGATACGTATTAAGAGTGAACTCTCGTTTCATCGAAAAGTAAATTGAAATAAAGGATGAACAATATAAGTAGTTTATTCTAACTGATTTCGTTCTCTTGAATAGACAAAATTACATCAATACTGCCTTATTTAGGCGACTATCCAATATCACTATGATAAAATTATTTATAAATTGAAATCCTTTATTAAAATATAGAGTTACTGATTATAAACAATAAAACCTTAACTGTGGAAAAACAGAGGTTAGAATGAGGATATGTAATTGTCCCAATATATATATATATATATGAGAATGTGGATGATCGTTTTCTTGTCTACATAACATAATCAACATTAGTTCCGTGCTTGTAAATTTCAGCGACGCTGCCTGTCAATAGTCGTCAAGTAAACTCATTAGTTGTGTAATTCTTATAATGTTTCCAACAACTTTTATTAACAGATGCACCTACAATCATTTTTTTCGAAATAGTCTGTTAAAGAGAATGAAATGATTATAAAAAAAGTTAATGAGATTCTGCATATTTTCATTCAAATTTTATTTTTCGACGGAATGAGAATTATTGTGGGTAGTCGAAAAACTGCCTAAAAATCCGTTTTTTTATGGTAGACCGTAGGCGAGTCGTTTTTTTGGCTGACTCGCCGATCTCTGGTCGGAGCACATGATAATGAAATAAAATTCAAGAAAAAATTCTCTCTAATGAATAGTCCTATTAAAAGTCTGAATCGAAAAAAAAACACCTTCGGAATGTTATGCTCAAAAATCTGTCAAGAGCATACTGAATAGTTTGTATACATATTATAGGACTCTTATACTAAGTGATCACTAAAATAATTCGTTTATCGCAATGACTATCAACTGTCAATTCTATATTTACTTGAGTTCATTATATTCAATTATTTTGTTTCTTTTTTGTATTATTCAATTTGTAGGTTATCAGATAGAAAGCAAAAGAATTTGTTATCAAGAAAACTAGATCAAGATTCTGGTATTAGGAGATCTGTCGGTATTGACTATTTTCGAATGCAAAGAAAAAATAATTTGCAGATTAATAACAATAATACTAATAGTGACTTAAATTAACAACGATTGCTTTTTTTTGTTAATTAAGATTATTTGATGTATAATTTATTTATGCATTTGTTCAAATTGAACAAAGGAAATAATAATTCGTTTTATTTTATTCTTTTAGGAAATTAAGAAAAGTTTCTGAATATTTTCGACACATTATTATATTTATACGTACTCCATATGTTAAATATCTTTATCATTTAGTAAGTATTCAATTAGATAATAATCGTTTTTATTTATTTTTTCTAAAAGTATGTTTCATTTTCAAAATTAGTTCTTTTTTTCATATAATTTTATTTAATGCCCTTATTCATTTTCTATTTTAGTACTCTCATTTGATCTTTTTATTATTATTTTCCTATGTAATTTTATGTGATTTTTTTCCACTCTATGATCTTCCAATGAATTTTATGTATACCATCTGGTAATTTAGCAAAAAAAGATTGTTGCGATGACAAAGATAATAGTCTATCAGTTACAAGTTACACGTCGACTATAAGTTCGTATAATGTTGGTAAATCAGTTGCATATGGACTACAACCACATGAAAATCCGTCTTTTACTGAAATTATACTTGTTATATGGGTTATTACATTAGTTTGTGAAGAATTTCGACAGGTAATTTGTCTGAATATATTTGTAATCTATTATCTTATGGTCTCTATGTACTGTGTTCACATTCTCTAGTTATTTGCAATATAAGCACCATCAGCACGAAACGTTATTACAATTTATTTTAAATCATATTGGAATAAATTAGATGTTGTGGCTATAATTCTATTTTTCGTGGGTATTGTACTTCGATATATTCCAATATCAGAATGTTTTTGTGCAGCACGGATTATTTTATCATTTGATTTATCTATTTGGTTTATACGTTCATTGGATATGTTTACTGCTGTAAAACTACTTGGACATAAACTTGTTATGATTGGTGAAATGGTAAGTAATCTTTTTGATTTTGTGAGACACTCGTTAGACATTTTTTTTTGTTAGGTACATGATTTAAAATTTTTCATGTTAATGTTCTTTGTATTTATACTGGCATTTGGTGTATCATTTTATAGTTTAGTATTTGGTGTTCAAGAATTTACTTGGCATTTACCACGTAAAATTATAAATTTTGCTTATTGACATATATTTGGTAAAATAGAAGGTTTAGAAATATTCGAAGGTATGAAAATACAAAGAAGAAAAGAATAAAGAATTTCTAATTAAATCATAAAATATTTGTCTTTATACAGAAAATTTTAAAGCAAATGGTTATGCAGCGTTTATCTTATTGCTTGGTTATATGACTATTGTTAGTATACTCTTAGTCAATCTACTTATTGCTATGTTCAGGTAGTATTTATAACATCTACTTTAAATCGTTATGAAAAAAAAAGAACTATAGATAGTTTATATGTAGCGAAACCATTTTTTTGCATCTAACTAAAGGCTTGCTTTGTTTTAATTTAGTAATTCTTTCGATCGTCGTCAAAACAATGCAGATCGTATTTGGAAATTTCAACGATATTCATTAGTGAGTGAATATTTATCACGTCCATCATTTCCATCACCTTTCATTTTCTTGTCTCATTGTGTACGATTAACTTTGTATACATTAGCTAAATGTTGTAAGTCAGAATTCGTCCAAAATAAATATCGACAACATGTGAATCGAACAAAATATAGTAAAACATATTTCTTTTTTTTATTTGTCTAAATAAAATAGTTGATTTTTTTTAGAACTATCACTCAATGATAAAAGTATAACAAAAGTTGAAACAATTGAAGATGCATATTGTGATGAAATTTATTATAATTATTTAAAACAGGAAAGAAAACTACTTGATGAACCTGATCTAGATGAAGAACGAGTGTAAGCAGTAAACTTAAATAAAATATCACTAGATTGAGATCTTTCATAAAACGCTCTTGGAAAATATCAGGTTAACTTTTTTCCTGCGATACGAAGCACTTAAATCTAAATAGCGATTGGAATAGTTAGTGAAATATCCTATCAAATACATTGTATACTGAAATCTTATAAATAGAATTATCAGAGAAAGATTTGTGAAAAGCCATACACAACATTTTCAGATCTCCGAAGACTGTATGAAGATTAATGCTAAAGAATATCATCTATAAAAGAAGAAAGTCTCTAAATAAACGAGATGTTGCTCCACTTCTCGCCACTCTCTCTCTTAAAAAGTGATAAGCATTACAAAACCAGCACAATTCGTTGTTTTTTTGTAGATAATCAATTTCGATTGGTGATGTTTATAAATTTTTAAGAGGAAGTTGTAGAGGATGCGATAATCTTTCTTTTTATGCTCTTCAATATAATAGCCATCTGAGATATGAAAATTACCGTGTTTAGTTTCTCGGAAATCTTCCATCTGTAGTCGGTCGATGAAATTTTAGTATAGAACGATTTATAAAGAAAGAGTTTCATTAGTCATTCCTCTCGCTACTTATATTCAAGTTAAATGCTTTATATCAAAAGAAAAAAAACATAAAACAATATGTTGTTCGTGTATTTTTTTTTCAATTTTTTAGGTATTTTTAGTCAACCATTACAGGAAAATATCTTAAATAGAATACAGAGACTTGAAAACTATATGCGACTAATTAGTAATCAAGTAATAATGAATTTTTTTATAGTTGGATTTCTTTTTGCACTTATTTCATATAAAAAATTTTCATTTAGCAAGCTATTATGTGCGATTATCTTGAGCACTTGATAGGTGATTCAAAAACTAACAATGGTAAACGTATCAAACTACCTGAACGACATCGTTTAGATCCTGAATTATCATGTGTGTTTATCATTATATAATTATTTCTTTTACTAATAATTTCTTTTTATAAAAGAAAAAAAAACATTAAAATAGTTGAGGAAATGAACGAAAATATTAATAAATCACGACAAACGTATCAACGAAAATCATTGTTTGATGATGATCGTGTTCATTGAAATCCTAATTATTGAGAAACAACAATGATGAAAGGTTAATTTTTTGCTTTATCTCAGTAACACTTCTAAATACTATAAATACTTGTACGACTACAGCATATTTTAACTCTAGTCCATATAATCAAAGTTTTAGATTATTGAATGTGATTTACAGTCTTATTAAAGAGTAATTACTACTTGAAGAATCTTTCCTAAAGAACGTCGAAGTAGCAATCGCAGTTTTTTAGTGTGCTTCTTCCTTGTTCAGATTTGCCTAGCTTCATCGAACGCAATGAAACCGTTTTCTTTAGTATTCTTTGGGAAATTTTCTAGTCAGAATTCTATAGTCGCGTCGAAGATTTGAGATGCTTGTTGTCTTTTTTTTTGCATTTTGTGATTGGTGTCATCTACATATTTTGCAAACAATTAGAATCCTAGTTTTCGAAGTCGAAACCAATCTGATGGATTGTAACTTCCACTATAGAAAAACAAAACTTTCAGAAAAGTGTGTTTGTTCTAATTTACTGCTTCTTCTTGATAAAATAACAGTTAATTAATCAAAACACTATACATACTTAATATACTATATTTTAATGAGTCGATAATAGAAAAAAAAACAAGATGACGCTCTTCCCTCTGTCCACTTTTAACGAAACATCCCAATTCATCAGCGTTCGTTCATCTTCATGTCCTTTATGGATGATTGCTACACAATGAACTAGTTTTCGGTACCCATATATAACTACATTTCTTACTAACTATTTATTATTAATCTTAGGTTATTAACTAATTTAGGTATTAACATTTCAAATCATCTTCTAATCATCACTGCATGCATCAACCGATTAGATTTTGATGAATGAACTCAAAAAAAAAACTTTCAAACATTGATTAATTTCTTTGATATGTATGTAGGTATCGTCTTTCACACATGCATCAACGGACAACTGATGTCTAAATTCGTATTCAATGTAGAATTTTTTAGTATTTATTGAAGCTATTTTTTTATATTCATATTTTAAAAATAAATTATTATATTTGCATATTCTTTTTATTTTCTATCAATTACAAATATATATGATATCTAATCATGTTTTTCACTGCCTTAATTATTGTAAACTTCTTTGTAGAGCTCGCATCTATTCTTTTAAGAAAATAGTGAGTGTCAGTTTTAATTCGAAGTTCTTCGATTCCTACTTGCCCTCCTCACAATAGATACTTCGTAATGAAAAATAGCAGATGTTCAGTTGTCGACATGTTTTTTTTTTCAAAATTGATAAAATGTTAATTTTGAAAAATAATTAATATCATTATCGATGAGTGGATTTATATATATATATAAAATGGTACGCCACATCTGCTGTTGATATCGTGAATATGTAAAACAGATTTCTTTGTCAGTTAACTCGATGATTATAATAATAAGAGTGCTAAATTACGAGTGAATAGCAACACTGCAAACGAAAAATAGAGCATTCGTAGTAAAAATTAAGCATTCTCTTCGAAACACGGAAATCGCAGAGGTCATTACCCTGAATACCGATTATTATACAAAACAGCTTTAGTCTACGAGAGATTTTTCATATGGGCGTAGCCAGTTGACATGAAACCCCAATTTGCTTTCTTTCTTTTATCAGTTAATAATCTAATTATATTTGGGTCAAATTATCACTTTCATCGCTAAACTACTAAATTTAAAATATTAGCTGCTGATCGCTGTCTTATATGAAACTATTCAGTTCTTGAAATTGTGTCTTATCGTTTTTTAAGGGATTGAATAGTTTCATATAAGACAGCGGTCAGCAGCTAATATTTTAAATTTAGTAGTTTAGCGATGAGAGTGATAATTTGACCCGAATATGATTAGGTTATTAACTGATAATAGAAAGAAAGCAAATTGGGGCATCATGTCAACTGACCACGCCCATATATATATATATTCATGGAAGTTATCGTTTTTAATTAAATAACAACACTAAGAAAGACCTTTCAGTTCTATCCAAAGCACTTCACATTCACATCCTTTGAATATAGAGAAGCCATTTGATTTGGGGTCATCTGTCATATCGATAAGAATTAAGATAACAATTGTTTGAAATAAAACGAACAAATTATGATGAAAACTGCATCAATTTTTTGTTATTGACAATGGAATTTCAAAAAATTTCTTTTTCGGTTCAGTGTGAATTTTCGAAAACCTTGAACCATGTTCAACTCTGATTATTAAGACGAATAACTTTTTTTCTTTGACATTAACAGTCCTTATCAAAGTCTTTGTTCCGTGTTTGACAATGCTAGCTGATCTCATGACCCTGTTTCAATCACGTAATACATATATATATACATAATAATATTCTAAAAGACAACTGGATCATAGTTTTTGTTTTCTATATATCCAAAACAAAAACAGATGCACTTTCATAAAACCATTTCTTTGTCTAGCTGCAGAAGAATTATCATCAAAAAAAAAACTAATGTCAATAATCGTACCATATCACATAAAAATACTAGAAAACAATTTGTTACTATTGTAATTATTTAAAAAATATTTTCTTCTAAACAAAACTCATTGAAGGAATGAATTTAACTTTTGATAGAATCAGATTACCGACAGAAATGATTATCAAAATATTCAATATATATTTTTTATGCTACAGTAGATATTGAATTATTTCAATTTATTAAAAATTAACAAATATAAAAATATACAATGACAACATCAAAAATGAAAATGACGTTTTAGAATAACAAATCATCCAATATTAGATTAGAAAAAAAGCTGCTTTTTTTCAAAATTTATTACTTTTCAAATAACTAAAAATTGCGTACATCTTAAATTATAATAACGGATGCGACAGAGTAAATGGTTCCCTCAGTATTTTATCTCTAACTCTGTTTTTCTTTCATCCAAAAGACATGATTTTATCATAGAAAGATGCACCGTGAAATTCTCTACAAAGTGGCCTATTTTATCTTGGTTAAATACCGTTCGTCATACTTTAAATCGAAACGATTTCACTTGGAAAAATGATGAGTACTTTAAAATAGTTATTTTATAGTTTTTCCTAATATCGCTCTATTTGCCATTTCTTAGTAACTTTCATTTATAGTTTGTTTTAGTTGAGAAGTAATCTGGGTTTACCGATACTCCAGCGATGCCTAGGCTTTCCTATTTGAGTTAAATCGGTAATTATCGAAATTAAAATGTTATTTCAACAAAGGTGACTAAGATATGACAAACAAAGCAATATTAAGAAAAACTATAAAATAACTATTTTTGGAAAGTACTCATCATTTTTCCAAGTGAAATCATTTCGATTTAAAGTACGACGAACGATATTTAGCCAAGATAAAATAGGTCACTTTGTAGAGAATTTCACGATGCATCTTTCTATGATAAAATCATGTCATTTGGATGAAAGAAAAAAAGAGTTAGAGATAAAATACTGAGGTGGCCATTTATTCTGCCGCACCCGTTGTTATGTTTTGGTTCAATTTGTTCAGTTAAATATTGATCAATCGATGAACAATTTTTAATTTTCACAATAAAAGATGGACATCAATTTATTTTTCATAATTTTTCTAAAGAAATTTCAGATGTGTTCAATGAAATATCCATTTGATGACTCTATATTATATTCGAAATTTGTTCGATGATTTTCTTCATTAAATGACAAATGTGATTTCAATCGATCTAAGCGAACTTTTTCACAAAAACAATTCAAATCATCAAAAAAAAAACTTCATCTACTTCTTGACGTTTTTGTCACATAATCTTTAGAATTTAAACAAAAATCACTCAACGAAAAAATCAATGATTTTTCAACTGAATATTGCTTCAAATTTTTATTAAAACGAATCAAAAGCTAGAAAATAATCTTTTATTTTGATCAAACGATTTGAATCATTATTTTTAAAAACTGTTATTTCTTTTTTAGCGTTCCACTGTTACATCCAATTTCAGTTCTTTATTAGCTCACAACTTTCCTTGAATTATGAGAGACATTATTAAAAAAAATAAAGTATTCGATGTTCTATCAAAAATATATCTGATTGAAATTTTATTTCTTCATCCAATGATAACATTATTTGACAGATACGTGTATGTTTTTGTGTAGAGTGATCCAAAAGTGAGTCTAGATCTCTCAACGATAGAGCTGGAGGCATGCTGACTAAATGAAAAGTAGGAAGATTCTTCTAGTAACATATTAATGAGAAAATATTTTCTCTTATCAGTTTTGTTTCAGAGAAAAACAACAGGACTTTCTGCAAAAAAAGACGATTCTGTTCTCTTTTTAGTGTGATGTTTTGAACATTGTCTGTTCTATAACGCTTCAGTGAGGTTTTTTTTGATTTAGCTCAATATTTCTCTAGCAAATATAATATAATAAACTTTTTTTGACTGGTAAAAATTTTAGCTACTTCATGAGAGACTTACGCTATGATACGAAATATTGAGTGAGGCTATTTTCATAGATAATTCGAACTGAATCAACTCAAAAGAATTTTTTTCAAATAAAATTAAACTTTTTAGAAGTAGGCGATCTAATCTGTAAGTCATATGATTTTATTGATCACTTATTACCCTTGTCATATTGGTAAAATGGCTCGAGTCTTTTCTATATGTCGGGAAACTTTTATTGTTCACTACAAACATAAAATATCATAAAACACACTACTCAGAAATTATTTTATCCTACTATCATTTTTTCGCCCTAATTAGATCAAAAAGTTATAGTTCATTGATATTTGTCATTCTAAATATGGTGTGTTTCTATGCATCATTCTAACAAACTACATCGATTTTGTTAATTCAAAATTTTGAATAAAATAAAGAACGAGAGGGTTCTCTTCAAATTGATTTAACAATTGAAAAGCTCATAGCAGTCTTTCATACATGCCTAAACTCATTTTGTACATCTTTAAATCAAGGACTTATGAATATGTGATGATCGCTCCTACCAAAACTGTCATTATTAATAGTTACCTTCCACAAAACTTTCCATCAAGATATTATTTTTTTCAGAAATCTTCACGATCTTTTTCTCTTCTATCCTGAAAATATTTTAATGCATTGAAAATCGTCGAACATTTATTATTAATCTTTTCACAGATTCACTTACAAAATTCTGATTCTTAGTCAACTCTATAAAATTTCGACTGAACCTTTTCATCGGTCCAAAAAACAGAAAGGAAGACTGTTTGAAAACTCTCAGTTCACAACGTATAACTCAACAATGCACTATTCTAACTATGGCAAGACTGAAGATGTATTTACAGTGAGAACTTCACCGACATCCACAATCAAGTATGATGCATATCTCTCATGATCAAGCACAATAGAGAGTGGGTCAAAAGTCATTTTATCGAGAAGAAACGCTTGAGTATCTGCACGATACTTTGATGAATATGAAAAAATAAATAACTTTTTGTAAACTATTCACTGAATATATCTAGTTATTAATAATTAGAAGTTTCAGGAAACACTAAGTAAGAATTGATTGAAGTGTTGATTGGAAATATCTCTTGTTCATTATTTTTGATCATATGGATCAGACTATTTTCTCATAACTCATCAAAGACTTCAGATTTATATTCATATTAATAGTAATATTTTAAAGCAGTGTTTTCTAGCATTTTTCGTAGGAATGTCAGTTATTAGTAGTCCCTTATTAGTAGTGTAAAAATCACTCCATTTGGTCAAAGTATGACAGAAATATTCATGCTTTTCTTCTTGATGAAGTGACTTTTGGCCCACCCTGAATGTGCAGCATTCTTTACTTGAACCACTCGTTAACTAACAGCAATAAATCTGGTAAGCAGAAATGTCTTTCGATTGTTACTTCACTCAAAGTTCAACTTATTTTTCTCGTTTCTTCATTCACATGATCAGGATATCCATCAAGAGCAGAATGAAAGCAACCGAACTCATGATGGCTGTATTTCTTTTTTTCGTTCTTATCAGAAAAATAGAAAAAATTCACTCTGATAAAAAACGATGTATGAAACAAGATATCCAACGTCGCGCCGCTTGAGACATGGTATAGATGAAAGTCAAACGAAAGTTGGAAAGAATAATGATGCACGCAATAACGTTGTTCGATTTTTTCCTTTCGTTCTTTTTGCCGGCAATCATATCATCTCTTAAACCCCAATGAAGTTTGTTGTTGAGTGTTAACGACAAACAAATACCCACATTTTATGTCGTAGAAAAAATCAGAAGACAGCTACTATATAAAGAGAAAAAGTGATCTGTCTTTAAACGACAAGCAATTATCTACTATACTCGATTGACTTATAGACGACAGTTCACAGTGAATATAAGTGAACAAGAATCAAAACAAAATATTTCCAAATCAACAATGGATACCAATCCAAATACAACAGTCCCATCGACTACCATGCAATCAAGACGGTACATCAGTCAAAATTATTTGATCCTTTGGGTCGATGGAAACATTGATCCAGCAAATAAAGATTACCAAAATACACTCGAACAACTGCAAAGCATAGCTAACGAAGTCTATACCTTTACACAACGTGATGAATGTGTTGACTTCCTCACTGAAGTTGATGATCGAAAAGCATTTCTCATTGTACCGAGTACTATGGGCCAACAAATGGTACCCTTCATTCATGATATTCCCCAACTTGATAGCATTTACGTCGACTGCAATAGCAAAGCTTCACAAGAATATTGGGGCAGTCATTGGAACAAAGTTAAGGGTCCATACACAGAAATTCCGCTTATCTGCGATGCATTGAAAATAGCTATCAAGCAATGCAATAAAGATGACATATCTGTAAGCATTATCAGTGTTAATGAAGAAGATTCCAGCAAAGATCTCAATCAGCTTGAAGCCTCATTCATGTACTCCCAAATATTCAAGGAAATTCTTCTTGATATGAAACATGGTGAACAAGCCAAGAAGGATTTTATTCAATTTTGGCAAAACGAATACAAGAATAACAAAGCTAAAGCAAAAGATATCGCTGAGTTCGAACTTCAATATAGTCCAGAATCATCAGTTTGGTGGTACAGTCGCGAGTGTTTTCTTTACGAGATGCTGAACCAGTCTCTTCGAACGCTGGATGGCGAGACAATTATAAGAATGGGTTTTTTTCTTGCTGATTTGCATCGACAAATTGATAGTTTACACAAACAACAGATCAGTCTTTATCATGGAAAGATCTTTGAAGTTTTTCGGGGACAAGGATTATTCACAGTCGACTTCGACAAACTCCAGAAGAACAAAGGTGGACTTATTTTCTTCAATAATTTCTTATCCACCAGTACAGATCGAGTTGTCTCTCTCGGTTTTGCCAGAGGTGCCATAGGAAAATCCAGTATGGTGGGTATCCTTTTTCAAATGTCAATAGATCCCACCATCTTATCAAGTCCATTTGCCTCTATCCGGGAAGTGAGTAATTTTGCGGAAGAAAGTGAAATCCTCTTCTCTATGCACACCGTTTTTCGAATTGGTGAAATTCGAAAACTTGACAATGAAAGTTTACTATATCAAGTAGAACTTAAACTGACGTCAGAAGAAGACCAGCAATTGCGTCAACTCACAGAAAGCATACTAGGAGAAGATTCACATCAGCCATGTTGGGGACGATTGGGTATATTGCTATTAAAAATAGGACAATATAGCAAGGCCGAGAAATTGTATATCACACTACTCGAACAAACCTCCAACGACGATACTAGAGCTACATTTTACAACAATCTTGCAGTGCTGAAAGACCATCAAGGACTATACAAAGAAGCAGCATCATTTCACGAAAAATGTCTCGAGATCGAACGAAAAACTCTTCCAGCAGATCATCCTTCACTGGCTATTTCCTACAACAACATCGGTGGAGTGTATTACAACATGGGTGACTACTCGAAAGCACTTGAATTTTACGAAAAATCACATCAAATCCTCGAAAACGCTCTGCCTTCGAATCATCCCAATTTGGCTAGTTCCTACAACAACATCGGTGTAGTGTATTACAACATGGGTGATTACTCGAAAGCACTTGAATTTTACGAAAAATCACATAAAATCACCGAAAAAGCTCTGCCTCCGAATCATCCCTCATTGGCTTTTTCCTACAACAACATCGGTGCAGTGTATAACAACATGGGTAACTACTCGAAAGCACTTGAATTTTACGAAAAAGTACTTAAAATAAGAGAAAAAGCTTTGCCTTCGAATCATCCCGATTTGGCTGCTTCCTACAACAACATCGGTCAAGTGTATGACGACATGGGTGACTACTCGAAAGCACTTGAATTTCACGAAAAATCACATCAAATCTACGAAAAAGCTCTGTCTCCGAATCATCCCTTATTGGCTACTTCCTACAACAACATCGGTCAAGTGTATAACAATATGGGTGACTACTCAAAAGCACTTGAATTTTACGAAAAAGCACATAAAATATACGAAAAAGCTCTGCCTCCGAATCATCCCTCATTGGCTCTTTCCTACAACAACATCGGTGGTGTGTATAACAATATGGGTGACTACACGAAAGCACTTGAATTTTGCGAAAAAGATCTCGAAATCAAGAAGAAAGCTCTGCCTCCGAATCATCCCTTATTGGCTACTTCCTACAACAACATCGGTGGAGTGTATGACGCCATGGGTGACTACTCGAAAGCACTTGAATTTTACGAAAAAGATCTCGAAATCACGAAAAAAGCGCTGCCTTCGAATCATCCCAATTTGGCTAGTTCCTACAACAACATCGGTGGAGTGTATAAGAGCATGGGTGACTACTCGAAAGCACTTGAATTTTACGGAAAAGCACTTAAAATCACCGAAAAAGCTCTGCCGTCGAATCACCCTCATTTGGCTGCTTTCTACAACAACATCGGTGGAGTGTATAACAACATGGGTGACTACTCGAAAGCACATGAATTTTACGAAAAATCACATCAAATTCTCGAAAAAGCTCTGCCTCCGAATCATCCCAATTTGGCTATTTCATATGGCAACATCGGTCAAGTGTATAAGGACATGGGTGACCACTCGAAAGCACTTGAATTTTACGAGAAAGCACATAAAATCTTCGAAAAAGCTCTGCCTCCGAATCATCCCTCGTTGGCTAGTTCCTACAACAACATCGGTGCAGTGTATGACAGCATGGGTGACTACTCGAAAGCACTTGAATTTTACGAAAAATCACATAAAATAAGAGAAAAAGCTCTGCCTTCGAATCATCCCTCATTGGCTATTTCCTACAACAACATCGGTATGGCATACTCTGGCAAAGGAGACTACTCGAAAGCACTCTCATTCTTAGAAACGGCACTTTCTATCTGGCAAAAATCACTTCCACCTAACCATCCTAATATTAAAACAGTCACAAATTTAATTGACTATGTAAAAAAGAAAATGTAACTGTAATTTTTTCTTTTCACTTGCTCAATAAATTTATTCACATTGCTAATCGTTTCGACTGTTCTCTGATAATTTTGGCTTACGCGGTCGCGACAAGGGAGGGATCCCTTGTCAATGCCATATGTACCACGTCGGACTGGTAGGGCAATGGCCGAAGGTATACCATATGAATGGTAGGGACCAACGACACATAGAGACCTTCCCTAGTATTACACTGTTTCACTATGACAAGAAAGTTCCTCTACCTATTGAGTCAGACAACATAGCTCTCCGATCCACACTGATAACATCTATAACTCAACTCATCTCATCTCAAACATACTCATACTCAGAATGACTGACAGTGTTTATTTTCTGTCAAAATATGTTATCTCAACTCAGCTCAACATGTAAAAAATGTTTTTTGTCCTACCTCTCAATGTTATATCGTATCGTAGCTCATCTAAAAAAGAAAAGTATAATTTTAAATATAAAATGAATTAATTTACCTCAAATATAATACAATATATATTATTATCATTGTAAATAATATCATAATAATAATTAACCCGGGTATATAAATACATTGTAATGATACAACTCGAGTGTATTGTTTCATGATGATGTGTTCATGTTTTTATACACCCTCAGGTTAATTGATCGATGTTGATGATTTTGATTGATTTTCTTATCAATCATTCAACACATAACATTACATAATTGATTTGATGATCAATTTTTAGGTAGTGATATGTGTATATTTTTTTTTCTCGTCTGACGTACATTAATATCATATCGTCGTCGACGAAAAAAACTTTTATCTTGTATATACACTGTGTGAGTCGAACACTTACATTTAGAGAAATCAACGATGAGAACAAAACCTTTAATTATACTTCAAAATTTATCTGCAATATTTTATATATGTGTTTTTTTTATCATACAATGATGAATTCATTCGGTTAAATTGAAGATTAAATTTGAAAATAATAGTTTTTTTCTTTTTAGACTCCTCTATTCTGAATGATAAATGAAAAAAAATTTTTTAATATTCTTTTATTTTTAATTTATTTTTCTTTCATCTTATGTCATAGGATTTTTATTTTTAAAATATCGTCTTCAAAATGATTAAACAAAAATTGACGTCTCTCTATTCATGTGAGAGCAATCTAGAATCATTGATCCGACGCTGGAATTCGGTGAGAAGACAGACTTTTCTATTATACAAATATGTACAAATAAATTGAAACTAAATAAAAGGAAATGTGAAGTGATATCATCACTTATTGTTTTGTTTTTTCCTTTTATAAAAAATTTAAGAAACTTTTATTTTAACATAGTGAATCTTGATGCATAAATTTTACAAAAAAATTATCAAAAGCTAAAAGATTGACACATCTAGAGCATTTATTTCTAAAACATATACAACAAACTATGAGTTATAGTGTTATACAATGAAAAAGTTAATCATTTCGTGATAAGTAAATGTTCATCTACATGCTTCAACAGTCACGAATTCATCTCAAAATAGTTTCCTGATGATGCAGTATATCATATTTCTGCTTTTTAAACACTTTAACATAATTGATTCATGTGTTGTTGTTTTCGTTATCAGTTTGCCTTAGTTGAATGATGAAAATAATTGTTTTGCTTGTTAGAGACCCTTCAAAGTAGATCTTGTTGATAAAATCGATTCGAATAGTTGAATCATTCATGAATGTTTTAATATTCGTGAATGAAGGAGGTAACTACATCTAGGTTACCTGACAAAGTACTATCTATGAAGTAATGTCATTTGAATAGAATGAAATGAAGTATTTTCTGAGCTTTAATAGGGATCAAACTAAGAGACAATAATGATAATAGTATAACATTTGATGAATATATTCATGTATTTCTCATTATGTTTCTCTCGTATAAAAACTATTCGACAGATATAACAATTCCATCATTTTGTTCTCATAGTATTTAATTTTTTTATAAAAATTCGATGTTGTTTTTTTTTTGATTACATGTGAAGAAAGAGGCATTACATAAAAAAGAAAACATACATTCTTCAAATATAGTTTTATTTTAACATGTATTTTGAACTACATGTTTTCTATTGATAATAATTAGAAAAAAAGAATTTTATTCTCGCAGTACGTCAATTTCGTTCATTGAAAAATATCTCTGAATTTTTATAAAATTATGTATAGATTAAATATTTGAGTCTGTAAAAAAATCTTAGTAGTAATAACAAATAAATTAATGAATCACATATTTTTTTTCTCATTATACATACGTATATAAATGGTTTTTTTTATTATGCTAGAAAGTGTAAGTGAATCTATAGAATATGAACGAGATTTAAACAAAAATTGCAAATCTTCTTCGATTAAATGATATTGTCCTTATAATTTTTATGAAAAATTTCTACTAATAAAAAAGCTTTTAATAAAAGATTTATGTATGGATGTTTTTTTAATATTAATCTCTTTATATATCTTGTTGAGTCTGACACTGCACTGTTTTTCTTCCATATGAATATAGAAAGTTCACTAACAACAAAAATAAAAGAAGATTACGATAAACATTTTATTCATTTCATAAAATTGATAAATTCACAGCTAAATCAGTTGTATTAATCAGTTTGAATAAAAGATTCTAGTTACTTTGCTTTTTACTTTGGAAACGGAAACAATGTTTGACCTTTTTACTGTTACAAAAAAAAATAATTGAAAAAGTTCGTTTACAGGAAAAAAAATACACTTCAATTAGAGATTTAAAACTTGTAATTTTATATAAACATGACCTGATAAATATTGATGAACGTTATGCATGTAATTTTTTTTTGAGAGTAAATAGAATGAATCATTTATTGCTTTTTTGTCGTAAATTGTTAGTTGATACTTAAATTCTTTAAAAATTTTCATTAAAACATTATTTAGTGTCGATCGATAGTAAGTCATTTATGTTTCAATCTATCCGTTTGAATTATTTTACTTAGTTTGAATTTCATAGCAAAAAAAAACCAAACAAACTTACAATTTTTTTTCTTTTACTTTTCTACTAATATTTTTGTTTATTAATGAGAATTTTAATAAAAAGATCAATAGACAAATCAAATAGATACATTATATTTATATCAATTATACTGTACAGTTTTTATCATTTATATAAGCCGATTCAATTATGTATTATTGAAAGTTTTCACAGAAGAATAATTTTAATTTTGAAATAAATCTGTCTTGATCTTCCATAAACTTTTCTTTTTGTATAGCTTAAATTGTAAATATCTTTCTCTGCTAAAAATTACACAGCTCGTATAATAGTAAAATTCATTACTCTTATTTTCTTCGTTCAGTTGTATAACAATTATATTTTGATTTACGTAATGTATTAACATATAAGCACAGATGACGTTGTCGAACGTTGAGATCAAGTTCACCATTCTCTTGAAATAAGCGTTTACGGAGATTATTCATATTGAAGAACCGAACATATTTATACGTTCTATCTCACTCACTATTCCTATAAATACTCAACATTTTCATGGGCCATATATTAATATAATAAGTTTAGAGTATTTGTGATAAGTGTTAGAATAATGCATCAAAGGTATGAGATTCCTTCGGAACACTTCAAAAAAGACAAATTTCCAAGTGATAAAACAATTATAAAAATAGGTAAGAAACCATTCGAAAGCTTTTTTTTCTATAAAAGTCAAAAATGAACATATTGATAACTATTCTTAAATGACATTGGAAATAATTCATCATTTTACATCATTGAAAAAAATATTTTTTGTTTCATCGAAATAGTTTCGTTATTGATCTGAATTAGATTTACTTTAATAAAAAAATATAGTAATGTATTAAAATTTTATCTTCAAATATTATTTATTGAAACGTTTCTGAATGGAAACAATAGGATATTCTAGATTTTTTTTTCTCCGTAATTTAATTTGACACGTTAAGTATATCAAATAGATCAAAAAGACAGAATACAAATAGCAACGAGTAAAATATGAGCTAAATTGTGGATTATTGGTATCTATGACAAGAAGCTCATCTACATGCACATCTTCATTATTCTGTTGTCTTAATCTTTGGATTGAATCGAATTGATATACTAAACTTGCAATATAATCTTTACTGAATAGAGTTCGAGAATGAAAACGACAACATCATTGCAATTTTAATCATACAACTTTCAGCATCAGTCAAAACTTCTTTACAAATGTAACTCTAAAAACTCTATCTAGACATGATATTCATTTTCTCTGAGTTTTGTTAAACCAGTCGTTATCTTTATTATCAACAGATAGCGAAATAAAAAGAAATTTATTACAAGATAAGTTCATAAATAGTGTAATGCCTTGTTTTCTTTTTATGATATCTGAGATTTCTCTTGTCTTCACCTTATTTTGCCATAAGTATTTCTATACATAGAAACGGGTTAATAAATGTGTAGAGACGATAAAAGCATAGCTAAAAGCTTATTATTGAAGTTCTTCTACTATTCTTGATGAAACTATTATTATTAACAAGATACACAGAATGTTATGAGTCTAACTTTTAATCATCACAACATACAAACGCGATTTCAAGTTATATGTAGTGAATGGACCACAAAATAATACTATACAACAATATCTTTTTACTCATTAATTCTATGCTTATTTCTTTAAAAATAAAAAACATATTCAGAATTCAATTGGAGTTGTATTCATGAAATGTTTTATTAATGCATCAAACCATATAATTCAGTAAGATTCATATTAGTTTTTATTATTGAACTGAGACTTAAGTTAATTTAAATTAACAAATCAAAGAGTACAACATTTAACTTATATGCTATTTAAAATAGATTAACACATTCTTTTATCTTTCTGATAACAAAATTTCATTTTATTTGTTGTATTCCTAATATAGATTCTTTAAATTACGCATTCAAAATGTAAGATTTACGATCGAAAATGATATATGATTAATCTTCTAGAAAATAGAATAGTAGTAATTATTTCTCTCATACATTTT